ATTAAGAACTAATAAGATAAGTGAAGACAATCTGAAGAGTTAACATAATTTAGCAAAGAAGTGTGAGTGGAAGGGTGGTCTAAGGATTACGTAATCCATCTTATCAAGGAACTAGCTGCATGAAATTGTCTAGTTCCATACTAATACTAACTTGATAATGGACGTAATCTGACAACGGAAAATATGTAAGGCGGTTGTTTAATCTGTAAGGTTTTACGTGGAAGTCGCATTATTGTTTTATTTGACTCATTGATTCCTGACAATGAACAACGATATAACGCTAAGTTCTAACGACAGTTCGTAACTAATACAGTAGTACAAATTCTTAATTTTCACACACAATTAATCGTTAAAGCAATGGTAAACCTCCCCATGAAAGTATGAAGAAGACGAAAATAAAAAATGAGAAAAAGTTTATTGATTTTTCATGACTACTAAAGTGGAAAGATAAGTTTACAAGTTGTATAAATAGTGGTATAAAATAAAGCCACAAAGAACTGTTAATCGTAAACCTGCTGTCTAGCTGTTTATAATTCTTAAGTAAAAATTGTAGACCCTTCTCTCCACCTGATTCGCGAAGCGTTCACCATATTTCTCAACAATTCGTTGTTTGCACATTCTTTGGAGCCGTTGAAGTTGTATGTATTCTTTACTTCGTCTCCGTAATGAAATTACTGTGTTGTTTTGTAAATTGTGCGTATTGTCTAATTTCCATCTACAGCAACACCTAAGAAGTTGATGAGCTATGCAGTTTATATTTTATAATTTAAATAGCTTACCTGTTAGACTTCGTCTTTTAATATATGCCAGCAGGAGATGGCGGCACGGATATCGACACATATTAAAAGTGCTACAATTGCATTCACAAATACTTACATCTACTTCGTAATGTTGTCCGCGCTCAAGCATAAACAACCACTCGCCGCTTTCATATTCTAAGTTAACGAAACGCATTTTTTTAAGTTCGTATAACACTTTGGATCTTGCGAATGGGGTCAACATGTTCAGCAAGGGTATAAAACGCTGTGGAGCATCATAATTGTATGTTCGTCCACTGATTATTTGGTCTTCGATGCTTTTTCTAGAGAATGTCATTGAACTCCACTTAAAAGCCTTGTACATGCACTTGTGCAAGCTGTCGCTTTTGCGTACATATCTTTTAATCTGCCTATTTAATGACTCAACACGATTATTCGTGTTGTTACCCAAAGTTAATACACTGCCGTAAAAGGCACGCGCCCACATTGTTTTACGAGGCATCCAGAAACGTGACAGGTACTGGCCTATCACTCTGTCTCTGCGGTTTATTATTCTGTAATATTGATTAAATCTAGTGAATAAATACATTAAAAAATTACCTTCCGACCGTTTCTGCGGTTACCAGTCGAGTCAAATAGGTTTTTAGTATTTTATCACTTGTCTAAAAGAAATTTTATGTAACCAACCATTGGTGTACCTTTTTGCGGAAAGCGCGAATCACATGAAAGGCGCACAAAATAATGTTTGCATGCCCGTGTGTTATACGGACAGCCGCGCTTTCAGATCGTGCGCAATCCATCACAAATGTTTCTGTTTTGGTCGTGTTACCCATTATCTCCTTGAATTTATCCAAAATCCACGTAAGATCAGCACGCTTTTCTTTTTTTGTCCATGCAAACATAACAGTTCGACCTCGACCCCAATTGTCTGTTACCACTAACTCGAATAATGAATACCTACATAGTAGAACAAAACGAAAATCATATTCACTTTTTATTATTAGTTTTATAAGTAGAATCAATACACACGACTTCGGGATATTGATTGTACAGCCGTATCTGATCATAACTGCTGAAGCATACCGCCGTAATAGATCCATTTTCTGCATGCTCTCTAACTTCCCCGTTTTGTCGCATCATCTGCAATACCTGCTTCCGAGTCCAACCTGAAATATATTTATATACACTTACCAGTGGAGAGTTCAGCTTTCATATTTTTGACATCAGCAGCGGTCACCAGCTTACCTGTTCTTTCCTTAATACTTTCGATAACTTCGTCCGTCGACTGACAGTGCAATATAACTGGTTTCAAGTTTTCTTTTTCTTCTGATGACAATCGTCTACTCAACGGATCACAAACCATCCACGAACTAGTACACGGATGGTTGTGAGTCATGTTGTAAGATTTTATAACGTATTGTTGACCCTCCAATCTTACGCGAAACATCGATTGGCAATTTAAAAATTTAGACCTTAAAGGTAACACATTAGTTAGAGTCCTCACGGTTTTTTAATCACATTCAGACCTTCTGATTTACGTTTACGACCAAACGTGCAACGAAACACTACGAACAAGTATTTATATCTCACATCCTTCAACAATCTACTTTCTGCGTGAACATAGTGTGTATGGGTCATCTGAGAAAACATAGATTTATCCCATCATACTTTATGGAAATCCTTTAGCGCATTATCTAATTCAATCCAGCTTCCGAATCTCTTATTCAGCATAATACGTTGGAACGCGTCGCTTACGTTCACTGAAATTTCACTTGAGCATGAAGCACTAGAGACAACATACAATAGCTGTTAAAAAAAGGTTATTCCTTGAAAAAAATTAACTGAAGGAAGAACAACAAATATTTAGGACTTACCCTTCAGTTGACATTTCGTCTTAACTCACAAAAACTATGCGCATCTATAACCTTTTACGTTATTTTTTCTTTCTTACGTTGTTTTCTGGACCTTATCAACAAATTATATATAGCTGTTGACTTTCACTACAGCACTTAGGACCACAGATCAAGTTTCGAAGGAACAACAGAGCTAAAGTGTGCACTACAAAACAGAAAATACTCAGTTAATGCTCTTAGCAGTTATTTAGTGTTTATTATGCATCAAAAGATGACTTATATATGGAAACATTTAATACTCATAGGACCCAACACACACACGGCAATTGAAATACGGAATGCCCGCTTCCAGTCAGCGCGTTCAAGGTCGTTGAAACGAAACGGCGGACAGATTTGAAAGGGATTACCGTTTAAACCTTGTCCACAGTTACGGATAGACATTGGTAGTTTGTTCCACACTAAACAATACAGCACTGTGAAAAAGTTACAACGCATTTGGTTTTGGTGTATTTTTTTGTGGTAAGTAGTGCATATGCGTTGTTTCTTAGTCTGTAGACTAGGTCATGGATAATGGTTGGGCAGGAGGTTAGAAATGAGAGTTCATGTATTGCTTTGTAGAGAAATATTAGATTGTTCCTTAAACTACGGTGTCACGATGGCTCTAAAGAGAGGTGCTTACATCTGTCTGTGTATTTGAGAGTGGAGTCCCATCCTAGCAGTTGGTGCGTGAAGCGTCTTTGAACATCTCCTACTCTTATCTTGTCTGTGGTATTCATATTTGAGAAGATAAAAGAGCAATATTCGAGGGATGGTCGTATACATATTTTGTAAATGGTATCGTCTAGCTTTAGAAGTAATAGACGATGCATGTTCTTCAGAGTTCAGGCTTCCTGTGTAATTAATTCTTAGATCGTGTACTGATTTGATTGTCTGGACTCTACTTTTATTTAAGTAAAGTTGTAGTTCATAGGGATGTTTTTCCAAAATACATGATTCCGCACTTGTTGAGGTTAAATGGAAATTGCCATTTTTTCGCTCCAGATAGTCAGGTTATTGGGGTCATTTTGAATTCAGGATAAATTTTTACTTGGAGCCTCAGGCTTATAGCTGTATACTATTTTCAGATCATCAGCATATAAGTGTGGTATTCATACTTCGTTAATGCACTTCGTTCACGCAGTTGAGAAATTAGTTCTCGATAACATTCAGAGCATTATAAATAATTGAGCTTAAATACATGGAGTTCACTAATCTTCACTATGTTAACATTGTCATGCTTGTATTCCAATTATATGTGACACCATAAAATTATTGTTGAAATTTTGAACAAGATTCGTTGATAATTGAGGGTAATACATCGAACATGAGGCGCACAAATCTAACTGTATTAAAGAACTGAATACTTGGTTTCAGAAGAATGTGAGACCTAACCAGTCGTAGCCGAATCGAGCACCACCTCTTGACAAGCAGCTATGAGTTTCATGAAAAAGTGAAATGATTTTATCAAGGATTTTGGCCCGATTCATCTCACTATTCGCTTCACTCAAGTCCTAAGGTGCATCTTCGATCACACTGTTAGAGTCTGCCTATCTCAGAGAATATAATTCAGGACAATGATCGTTACCTCGACTCAAACACAAGGGTCGACCTATTTTGATAGGCTACAATATGAATCGTGAGAACCAATCGTAAAAAAAGTAATTGGTTTACAAATGACACTTCAAATCTCTAGTCTCATATGTAGCTGCGAATTCAACCAATGATTTTCCTGACACAGTAGTTGAAAGAACGCCACATTATTATGTCAATCATATTCAGTAATAATAAATGATAGTTTCTTCATCTCACACGAACTCCGTTTTCTCGCATTCCAAAACAGAGAACTTAAGACAACACTGAAATTTTTTTTCACAAGCTCAGAATCAATTACTTGTCAGTTAACCAACGACTTTACATGATTTGTGTGGAATGATTGGCGGTCAACTAACGTTGAAGTTATACCTTACGTTAGTACTTAACGTGGATAACCAACTCGTCGTATGGAAGTACTATGGCTATCAGCACAAACGACGTCATTACAGCAATGTATTGGTAAGCGTAGGTTCAAGGAAGAGAGTGCAACCACCGCGCAGACCAGTCCATGACATGCAATCAGCAGACGCGCGTTCGTTGTCCTTGACCTTGACAAGGGTCGGTGAGCCGTACTGCACGAATTCGAATAATCAACAAATGAAAATCTTTACCTTAACTCGTGGTCAAATCTCAGTTTATCAAAAATTTCAAAAGAAGGCTGAATCAAATAGGTAGTTGACGCGGAACACCAGATCTGTGTTTTTGAAGCAACATATTGTTTGTGTTCTACTGAGTCAATGTCACTAAAACCTTCACTTCGAAATGGCGCGATATTACGAAGTGTCCGTCAGTGATTTATGATGTTCAAGTGTTTGCCAATCATAGGACCTTGTGGTCGACATATAGATCATATTGATCGACGTCATTCAAAACTTGAACAAGTTCCAGATGATGTAATAAGAAATTTTCGTACTTTAGAAGAGTGTCGTTTAGATGCCAATCAAATCAAGGAATTACCAAAGGTATTTAAAACTACTTTTAACACAATCTTGCTTGAGATGGAAAGGGTTCAATGATTTTTACTGTGTTTTGTTTCAGAACTTTTTCCGCTTGAAGCGCATTCGTCTCCTCACACTGAGTGATAATGAGTTAACACGCTTGCCAACTGGAATTGGCAGCTTCTCTAATCTTGTGGAGTTGGACATTAGTAGAAATGGTATGATTACGGCTAACCTTTCTTCATACGTCCAGATATATCTGAGCTTCCTGCGAGTATTCGGTTCTGTGATTCTTTACAGAGTTTGGATGTAAGCAATAATCCTTTGCAAAGGTGGGTTATCGAAAATTGAAATATGGTATACAAATATTCAGTTCGTAATTGTGACATGCAATAAATTTAAACGAATGTTGTGGTAATAATTTTTTCAGCTAGGTAAAAGTTTAGTTGTCTGGGTCGAAATGTAACTAACTGTATAGTTAGTTATATTTCTCATGCCACCCGTATTTCGTTCGAATGCTTCAACACTTCATTATAATTCTCAGTAACATATATCTCCTTAGTGTCTTATTTTCGGGTTTAAAACCCCGGAAATGCTTTTGGTACTTACGACTCAGACATCAGAGGCTAGTAATAAGGCCCAACCTTCAGTATCACAGAGCCTCAGTAAAGCACAACTGTTTAATGAACAAAAGTTCGAAAATTCATCAGATTTATTCCGCTTCGACTCAATAATTAGTACCACTGACTCATATATTAAATTGTCTTGATACGAATCTTACTATTTAAGTATCTCGTCTTTAGTGTCTCGTAAACGTAACGAAAATCACGCAGTACAACCAGGCTTCATGTCCAGAAAAAACGTAATTATTATTGTGCATTATGACCAAGATATCGACAAGTTGACTTTATTCTAAATGCTATCAACATATTTAGAATTGTTTAAGTTTGAAAGATGAGACGACTTCTTTTATTTTGTTAGGTCACTCAAGATTTTGTTCTGGTTATCAGTTTTATAAAATGTTATCTGCTTTCTGAATGACATTTGTAGTCTATGGTATTTTTTACCTTATATTTTCAGTGAACGTTCAAATTATTTTCCATTTTCCAGTGTCAAAAATTGAAGGTCTGAATGTTGTGTGTAACCACATGTTCATATAAACGGTAATAAGTGATACCTATTGCGGGATACTACATATTAATAATTTACTGTGCATAGAAATCGGATGTCTGTGCATTTAACCGGTTCACTTTTAGTTCCCTTCACTTTAAAACCTTGTAACTGAAAGTTTGTTATCTTACCTACTTTAAATTGTTTCGAATTACAAAGACAAGTATATGTATTGTATATTCATAAAAACAAATGGAATCAGTTGCTAGTGTTTTTCTCGGAAAAGAAACCATAGTACCTTCTTTTTTCAAAATAGGATGTGACTTTATGACCTGAGTTTATCATTTCATGTTGCTTTGAATTTTCCGACTATATTAACTCATCTATCCCACTCTACCAATTCCAGCTTACCTGCTGGGTTCTGCCAGTTGCGCAATCTTCGAGTTTTATGTCTTAATGATATTTCGATTGCTGAGCTTCCAGAAGAAATAGGCAGGTAGGTTCTTCTTTGTTTTTTTAAATCCTAAATGAAATATCATATCAGTTTACTAATTATATAGCAGCATCGTGCTACTTTATACATGTTTTTAAAGGCGTCCCTTTTAATTACTTGAATAATCTAACTTAGAACTCGGCATAGTAGCAAATCAGTTCAAGTTTCTTCAGCAGCATAAAGAGAAATCTCAAAAGGGTGTCCAACATAGCACCTAACATACTAGAATGATATTGAAAGACATGATACCTCTGTTGTGGAAGGACTTATTGATATAATATCAGTCTAATGAGCTAAATTTAAGCGACTAATTGGTTTTTATTCATGGGACTGGAATTGAAAACTTAAATTGTTCGGGTGATAATTTTCTGACTCGTAAATTATCCTGACCTTAGCAAAAATATACGGTTATTGATTTGGTTTTACTTCAATTGCATTCCGTGGAAATCTGTAAGGAAATACTTAAAAGAATCACTTGTATGCGTAAGCTAACCGTGCCCAATTGGTTTGTTGCTGTTGGTCAAAATTTATTTGAATAGTTCTGACAAACGTCTAAGCCTGGAATGTTGAACGAAATCTTACAAATTCAAGTTTCTACACTTGAAACCAACTCTATAAAACCCAAATGATTCTGCAGAAAAAATAGATGGTCAATGAGGTGCTCAGGCTTTTTGAAGAAAAAACAAATTGGATGTAATTTATTTTCCATTGTGGTTGATTTATTCACTACCTTTCGTATGTTCTTTATTCAGTGTTTTCACTTAACCCGGTGACCTGGGTGGATCTGCTACTTATAAATTTGGAAAATCTTAGTGTCGTATAGTACAATTTGAATGCTATTGGAAGTAACAGATGAGAAATTCGATTGCATTGTTGTTCTTTAGATTTGAAACAACTCTATAAAAAGTCACTTATGCCAACGATAAGGCTTTTTCTGTATTAACTAGATTAACTTACTACCCAAGCTCTACCAGTCAGTTATATTCAACATAAAGCCTAGCCTAAATGTGCGTTAATGTAAATGGTCATACTAAGCTTCATCAGTATACTAGTGTTTCAGAAAGTTTAAGCGTGATGACCATTAGGTCTCGTTTACGTCTAAGTATGATAAAGATATTTTTTCAGCATAGTTCACGTGGTATCTTTGGTTAATTCTCGTCCACCATCGGTTTTATGTCGTTGTTCGACAGCTGTAATATTAGGTAAACGTTTAGAAAGAAGCAATTGGTCGCACTAGAATCATTCAGGTTTGTATGGATGCCGACTGCTGTTGCTTGTAAGCAAGTTGTAATTGCCATCAAAGGGTGAGAATTGTATTTTCCTGATGGACATATCTAAATGACTTCAAATTTATTAAGACTATTTGTGGCATAATACTTCTTTATTTTCGTTTAGTTTACAGTTACTAGAAAAATTAGAACTTCGTGATAATTGTCTCAAGTCAGTACCAGATTCTTTCGCTGATCTTATTCATTTGGAGTTTCTTGATCTTGGTGCCAATGAGTTTCAAGAGTTGGTGAGTTTCTTTCCCACGTTTTTTGTAATCTAAACAAATCGTATAATTAGAAAGTTGTTTGCTCATTTTAACACTTTCTATCTCATGAATGTGAAACATGTTAAGTTGTCACATGCTGATTACAAGGAAAACTACACTTAATCCTCTGCTTCAGATTAATTTCTGTGCCTTTTGACTTACCAATCAAACACACTACAATATAGAATTTAGTGGTAATAATAAGACCTAACTGCTGGAAAGTGATGTACACAAACTTATCCATTATGAACTTGTATTTAACAGGTATTAAGTGTGTGGTTTAGCCACCACCCTCATATCCACAATATCAACTAGCCTAGTTCACTTAACCATCCTTTGAACTGGTGGGTAAAAGGTAAGTATCATTTCCCAGAAACTACATTTATGTTATGTACACATATATCTCATTTTATTTTTCGTGGCTCTACAGAGTTTAGTTTCCTAAAAATTTACTTTTCACTTTTATTTAGTCTCCCGTAATTGGTCAGCTCTCTCGATTGAGCGAATTATGGATAGATGATAATGAATTGAGATCATTACCTGAAGTAAGATTTTATTTTAATAAAGTTTTCGTTTTTTTATCAACGTACTAGTGGGAAACGTGATAGCTTTCTTGTCTGTAGAAAAACAAGTTATCTTTAAAATAAAATCATCTGGTCGATCTAACTTAATATTCAGAGTTTGACAGTTAATAATTAATGTAAATTAACTGTACCAGTCACTCATGGTGTAAGTTAGTTGATTAAAGTTGCTCAGTTGCGATTATCCACTATTTTTTCCCTAAGCTCTGGACGTGTTATTATCTGATACTTTCCATTCTCTAATTTCATCCATTTATTTTGACTTATTTTTTATCGGTTTTAGCCTTTTGCTTTATTCTGTTATCAGTTCCCTTCCATTATACCGCAGTAAGATATGGCAACTTAGTCTAATGATCATGTGCCTATCCGTTTGTGACATGTATTTGTATCTGTTATCCAGTCTGTTGAGAAAATATTTAATTTATTAATTGTTTTTTGTGGAAATGGTTACTCTTCTATAAACAATTTATTTATACCTTTTTACGGTTTATATATATTTTGATTTCACCACCCACTAACTCCTATTATTCCCTACTCTTGGTTCTTACGAATTTTAATGCGGCTATCATTCAATTCGTGTGCTTACGTTTTACTGTTGATTTCTCTGTTTTTGAGGGCATTGCATATAGATTTTTGTGTAGTAGCTATATGCATCCTGTATTTCATATACCATTCTGATTTATATATATTGGGGTTGTAGACAATAAGATTTATGAAGTACTAAGAATCCTATATTGGATACTTTTAGCGGCCTGGCTGAACACAATAATATAAGTGAATATACATTTTATCTTGCAATTATGTTATTCCGTACTACCCCTCTTACAGTAATTTCCTGTCTTCTTTTTATAGTTCCTATCATATTTCCTATAATCACTGGTACTTTACTTTCTCGCTGTATTGTTTAGATGTGTGGCTAGTCTGAGCGATATACTCTTAGGTCACATGGTAATACATACAAGTCATTGCTTAACCTTATAATGTTACAAATGTGAGTGATCTTTCAATTCAGTATGTCGACCAATGGTTTCATTTTGTGCGTTTTTACATTCATAGCTGATTTGTTATGATGTTCGGTATTGGTTGCTTAAATAGTAGTAACTTCTTCTGTTCACCTCATTGAGAATTGGTACCGTCTAAAATATCACATTTACCAGTTTTTATACATAATTTAAGAACCCTTTTCAAATTACTTAAACGTCATGAGAATTTCTATATTGGTTATATATTATTTCTACACCCATTACTTCACAATTCATAGTTTTTACTAGAATCTCTTGATTATTGTGATACTGTGTTGCCTGGAATAGCTTTATATATATCTTGAGTGCTGTTAAAGGTATGAGGGCGGTTATCACTTCCCGGTTGCCCACACCGTGGAAGGGTTCTTCTGGAGGTGCCTGAAAATGAAATTGGATTAGAGGTGGTCTTAGTGACCTGAGAGCGTGACCGCAGTGCCCAAGGGACAACTGCTTGAGGTCAGTCACACACGACCTTTTTATGGGTAGTTTTTGTGTTAGCTCCGTACTTGTTGAAACCTTACCGCCGGAGACGGATATCCGTGGGATAAGGCGAGGTGTGCATTTTTAGGGTCGACCTTTTCTAACCCCACCCCTTCTTGTGGGAAGGCAGCATCGCTGTCATGCTGGTTATCTGAAGGAAGCACCTTACTGCTGTCACACCTCTGTACAGTCAGCAGTACGACTTCTTCGGACCTTGGGTTTGTTGCTTTTAGTCTTACCGCTCTTCAACCGACCTGTCTGACATGGTAGGACCTTGAGGAACAGTTGTTCCAGCCAGTATAGCTCGGTTGCTTCATCACGATAGGCAAGCCCGACCACCACGTCAAGGTAGCAACAACGGTCGGGTTCTACGAACTAATTCTTTCTTCCTGTACTATATCCTTATTGCAATCTTTCTTTTATGTATTACCACCTCTGAATTAACTACTTTTATGAATCCGGTGTCCATCTTGTTATGTTAATGAGGTATGGCTATGGTATGGTTAAAGGGTTTTGTCTTAGTGTGCGTTAACCCAAAGTATTTTCGTTGCATCCGGAGTGAGTAGTTGTCATGATTTCGTATTTCTACCTAAGGCAGTGTGAGCTAAACTTTATTTGTTGGTGAAGGCATGATTTCGCCTCGAAATTAAAAACAATGAGATAGGCCACATTCCCAACTATAAACTAGAGAACTTTCCAAATTCCTGCAATTCATTTGGCCGTGTTTTTTATGGAATCAGTCTTGACGTCTTCTGTAAGCTTCTGTAACCTCAAACTCATTCGTAACCAAATAAAGACTGGATTGTAAGGACAACTAGTCTTTCACCGGATCTTCAACTTCTATGATACACGATTCAGCTGATGACCTGGAATATTCCGGAAAGTCTATTGTTAAACGCTTTCTTCTTAGACCCTGAAAATACTAATTAGATTTGCTGACTATGAATAAGATCTACCACGCATCCTTTTTTATCCGTATTAATGATTACGGATTAATTGCTAATTTATTAGGTGCTTCATGGATGTGTAATTTCTATTTTAAGTTTATTTTAAATCCATGGATAAAAGAATTTACATAATGCCAATTGTGTTTAAGTCGACTAGTACCAGAATAGAAGTAGTAAGTGTCAGCAGTAGTAAAAAAGATTATGCGCAGGCAATATATTTCGGGAGTAAAGAATGAATTTACTGAATAACTAGTGTAAGATTATTTTAGAACTCATGATCTGAGGGGAGACAGATAATGCATCTGGGCCATTGTGACCGATTTTGAGCCATATCACCCACCACCTCCAACCATTAATTATACTGGTGGTGAGGGGAAGCTAAACATTTCTGTTTCTTGTATTATTTTGTCTCAGTTGTGTTGTGCATACATTTCTTTTATATAAAACAAAGGACCAATCATAGATTTTAATACATAAACGGTTCTGTTTCATTTGTTTTCACTTCGCTTCACATTACGTTTTTGTTTTGGTATATGAAAAAACCAAACTACAAGGAGTTGGGAAATCTTGGGAATTTGCAACAGTTGGATTTATCAGAAAACCTTATTTCTACTCTGCCTGAAAGCATCTCGGGATTAGTTTCACTGTCGGACTTAAATTTATCACAAAATAGCATAACACATTTACCAAGTGGCTTAGGTAAGGAATTGTAATTTATGATTATTATTTTTATAAATAACCTGCACAGCTTTATATTTACTGATCTCATTAAATGTCAAACAGAATTTAATGAGTTTGTAGTCAACTAATTATTTTTTCCCAAAGACCCTTAGTTTGAGATTTTATCAGTAGACGTTTTCATCTTGATATCTGCTGTCAGATACCGGGCAAAAGTATCGATTATTCTAATTGATGTACAAGAAAATGAAGTGTTTTTATACTTTTCCTGAGAACATTTTTATATTTTTCTGATTTTTACAGCTTGGTCTGATGTTTAACTTCCAAAGATTTAACTAATGACGTTAGAGACGAGCTAATAATATCAATATTTGTGGATTTAAAGTAATCAAACTATTTGCATATTGTCATCAACATGAGAAAATATTCCAAAGTTCAGAAATACATTATTCCCGAATATTCCGACACTCATGTTAATTTCTCTATCTAATTTGTATATTACTTGTTCAATGGTCTGACTTAATACATAGTAAATGCTACTTGTTTAAATACTGAACTATAAGTCGCATAAACATTACATAAAGATATATTATATGTAACCGTTTAAATTTTCCCAAGTAATCAAACCCTCAGGCCATTCTTTCGAACTTGAGTACTTAAACTTAGATAAGTTTTAACCTAAGTGAAATTATTTTTCACGGTTGAACAGCGAATCAAGAATATGGTTCATTGAAAAGATCTCTTTTTGATAATTCCATATGTATATATTTTCACAATGATAGTCTATAATGGCAATGATTAATTACAGCGACAAAAGTTAACTACGAAAATTTTCACTCGTATTTAATTGTTGAATCAAAGTTGAATTAAGAATTTTGTAGAACGTAAATAGAAAATGATAATTATTGAATCTGTATACTCAACATAGTGATATAAACATCGAAAATAAAATATATCAGAGATGATCACTCAAACAAAAGTAAATGATTGGATTAAAAATTCAATAAATTAATGGAGAGCAATGATGATCTGTAAAATCTGACAAATAAAGTATAAACTAAACTTAATATTTAAAAGTTTTATACGTCCAGTCCATGGTAAGATAGGATGCTGGACAAGTTTATTTCGTATCCATAGTTCGAGCTTCTTTGTACATAATGAGAGTTTCAACAATAGCAAATAGATAGAAACACGGTTTTTAGTAGTCTTGTGTTCAAACTGTAAAGGACCTTGCAAAATGAACCTCTTCTAATTTCATGGTCGGTATTGACAAGCTATTCTATAACTACACTTCTTGTGGAGCCACTTTTACGTTTCTTTAACCATTCAGCGTACGTTTTCTAAACGCTCGTGAAATAAATGCTCACCGAACGACTAATATGTATTGCCCTACAGGAACAGGTAAATTGACTAGCAGATATTGAAAGGGTTAACTGTTTATGATCTTCGTAAATATCTTTCCCAGGATTATTGCGAAGAATGTTCTTCTGAAGGCGTTTGCGATTATCCTCTTCAATATGTGTGTCACCTCTGTAGTCAACATTCATGTAGAGTATCTTCTACTCGGATTATCATATTGATAATAAAGTCTTATCTGATATATATATATATATATATATAATTTTTGTTTACCTATTATCGTTGTTTTCATTTTTAAGGTGATTTAGACAAGTTGATCATTTTAAAGCTCAATCAAAATCGACTGCTAACAGTAACACCAACTATAGGAAAGTAAGTTAGAAATTATTACATATTCAAAGTGAAAAGAATTGATCCTCAGTGTTGATCATTTGAAGTGTGTGACAATGTCTTTCTGTGAATTAGCTGCTCCTTTTATAATGATTTTATTGTACCGATATATTTGCTCTCACTCCGCATTTTAAATGTCAGTTTTCTTTCTGTGCTAATGTAAATTCTTACAGCTAAGCTCGGTGCATATTTGTGTCAGGTTTCAAGTTGATTTTATTTATTTATTTTAACATATAGATATTGGTACAAGGAGGCACCAAATATATATGCGCCACACAGATCTCATTTGATATGTGTGAGGGCTGTAATACTGCCCGGATGCCCAAACCGAAGCAGGTGGTTTTTTTAGGGGTCACACTTCCAGCCTTTGACCTATAGGTCTGATCCACAAGGCAGTGGAGCATCGTAAGAAGATTCAGTCCCATGGTAGCCGGTGACCAACGATTGGTTCATACGCCATTTGTTCCTTCAGGATACTGGAGCCCATCTGCACCATTGGTTTGGAATCAGGGTTTTCCAACCCCCGTAGGTGGACTCTCCATATCCACCAACCCGGTTAAGGCGCCTGACATTCGCTTTTCGTTTTCTTAATTTCGTAAACAACACCCTCGCCACGAGACGGTAGTGAGTAGGACTTCCTGGTAGTGGTTGTATGCACGTGGCCATGTGGGAGGATTTCGAGAAGGAAAGCTGACTCTCCTCATTCTCGGCCGTATCAGGGCATTTGGGGGCATTGTGTTTGATAATATTATGCGCTATGTTTTCACATATCTGTTCATAAAATGAACTGATGTATTACAAATCAATGGCTTTTACATTTAGACGTGAAATACACTTCATCTGTTAATGCATTCACCTTGACTAAACTTTACTGTTATCATGTGACTTTTGATCTGTTCCCCTATGATGCTAGATTGTTTTACGTTTTATCATCTTTGATCTTTTTTTAAATCCTTGTTTCTACTAAACTAACACTTTTTTGGCACATATATGCATGATTTCGTTAACACTTTACTTTTGTGCGTTAATTAGTTTAACTGTGTGATTTTTACTAGCATACTAGACAATATTGTTAGGAAAAATAAATTTAGAAACAAAATTAAATGTGAGAGTTTCTTTATATATCGGTTAGTATCCTGACTCAATAATTTTATTTGTTGTTTTCACTACTTGTGCTAATCGTTGTTTGGATCTGCGTCTCACTGAGTTGTCCTGGTCATTGAATATATCTCATTAGGCCTACATTCGGTACCACACACTGAAAAATTCTTTGAGGTATTGTTTTTTTCTACATAGTACTTCCACATTTTAAGAGTCAATTTTGTTTCTGTGGCTACTCACTTAAAAGGAGAACGTGTCATAACGTTCATCCATTGATTGACCATTGTGAAGACTATGATGAAGCGTTTGGGTTTCCTATCTAATATGTCTCCTTCAGGTATGGTATTTACGAATAATTTTCTTGTTATTGTATAATCCTAGGTCCTTAAGGTTTGGATTTTTTATTGTTCGAATAAGTACCAAAAATACTTCATTTGTAGTGGATGTACTTTTTCATTTACTTCACAAAACTGTGACTATCGTGGTAATGATGGATAATTCGCACACCAGCTTAGCTGAAACTCAATAGGTATTGAGAAACTTTTCTCACTAAACGAACCTATTACACGCTCGTGTACTAAACTATGGGATACGTATATTTGTAGTAGCTATGATGACATTGCCCGACTGACTAAACTCACGTAGTTGAGGTAACGCTTGGTGTCGAAACGCATTGATGGAAATTCTCGTGCATAAACCACTAACCGTTGTGTAAAAGTTATATTTCTAAATTGCTCACCATAAGATAGATATTACTTTTGTTGTCGTAATGCATATCTTTCTATTTGACGAATTAAATGGCAATTTTATCATTTTGGTTATGTTCATCATTCAATATTAAATTTTATTTATAAAAAATACACCTTTCTTTTGTTAATTTCAGCTGTTCCAGTTTACAAGAATTATATTTAACTGAAAATTTTCTTTCTGTAAGTATATATTAATAATCAGTGTACTTATGCTCAATATAACATTTTGAATATAGAAGATTATCTTCATAATATGTCTAATTAAAATCGTCTTGTGAAATTTTTTTAAACTTAATTGTAGCTTTGATCATAAACTGACATCAACTGGAAAATCATCTGAAAATCAGATAGCATTGAACACTTGTTTCGTAATATTTTGAAGTTTCCTCAAAAATACTCACTCATAATCTTCAATTTTTATGGTCTTAAGTCAAATTATAATACAATATTGTTTCTTTATAAAATAACTATGTTCAGGAAAAGAATCTTTTCCAACAAGTTCATTTTCAAAGCTGTACAATCGTATATATTATATGTGATAAGTTATAGATCAACAAATAATTAATTGTATATATGTTGGAGTTTAATTAGCTATTCTGTAAGATCTGACTACATAATTTTTTCCTAAACAAAATATTGAAGGAGAGAATTTGCAAAACATGAGAAATATATGATCAATAGAATAAAATTACGTAGCCATATTTCATATAGTAAACGAAATATACCCATTGAAATATAAAACACGAAAGATTGATTCAATAAAGAGTTCTCTTCTCAGCAAATTCATTTTCAAAGCTGTACAGTTGCAAATATATACCTATTCTTCAAAACGATAATAATTACAATAATAGTGATAAAATTCTGTTAAACATAGTAACAGTGAGATAGAATAAACAAGAGTATAAAAATGTCTTTTTTATTAAGGAAACTATTAGTAATTTTGTTTCTGGGATCTTAAATATTCATCATGAAGAAAAATAAGGAAATTATAATTGCGGAGAGAAGACTCAGTATGATAAAATGTTGAAATTGAGATGAACTATAATCAGAAAGATCATAGAAACCTAAATATATCAGTTGGGGGTTGAAGGTTAATTGAGAAGATGGATTTAAAAAAAGAAGAAATCACGAGAGATTATGACCATGGTAGAAGGAAAGGTTGTGCAGGTTTCGTCTGGACACATAATTCTAGTTTTTCCAAATGTATAGGTAGTGTTTCGGTAATGTTAAAAAGATGGAATATAGCTGTCTTTGGAAGCTTTCTACTTACCCTGTAGATGACTTTGAACAGCTTTGAAAATGAATTCGCGGAAAAGGGAACTCTTGGGTTAAAATAAATTATACTTTCGTCCTCAGTTTTGACCTTACTCTTGGTAACCAATCAAAGGAGGCAGGATATGTTATTTGCTCTTTTGTAATCTATGCTGGTCTCCATGTTTCGTTATCTCGTTTTCCTGGCCTACATGAGGAATGTTAAGTTTTCTGCGACGAAAATATCACTCCATCATGCTACAGACGTGTCAACCATAGATCAGTCAGTTATGATATAGAAGAAAGATTGCAACCTAGCAAAAGATTTACCTCCAATTAATTCTATATTAGAAAATATTCTAAAATATCTACAATTGAGTAACTAAATCAATGAAAATCTAACAGCACTTGCTGACTTCCATATACTTATATGACTTAAAAACGTGGAGTTTATCTCCAGCCTGACTCTTCGCTGAACCAATCATTCTTCTTTAATATTTCCTAGAACTACCAGTCACATTCTAACAGATATGCAATTAATTATTCATTGACTTATATATAATATATACGATTGTATAGCTTTGGAAATGAGCTTGTTGGAAAGGATTCCTTTACTGAATTAAATTGTTGCATGGGTGTACTTCAATAAATATTATTTCTCTCTCTAATAATTTTTTGTGTATCAATAAAAATATTATCAAGATAAAATTTCGGATTATTTCATTATTTTCATTTACTTGAACCAATCGAACAACATACACTCATGATGTGTAATGAATGAAAATATTTGTCACAGAAATTATTTTCATGAAGGCCGTAGGGAAAGAATTTTCTGACTTAAACGTATTATATTTTACTATCAATCAAAACTGGTTTATATTAACCTGTTAATCACACATTTTGATTATATATGTGTATATAACATGACAAACTTGTGTAGGTCAAACCGTTAGTCTCATGAGAATATTTGCAATTTATGTGCTGGAATTAAGTTACCATAACCTTACAGAAATAAATTATATCGATTCAGTTTTTATGACGGTAGGTATATGGTTGAAGTGTATTTGATGTTTTTCCCATGGTAGCTGGTTACAAAATAATTATTTGTTTAAATTAAAGTCACCATAATGATTATGTTCGCTTGTGACATCTGATAACTTGTTACTACCTGATAGTTCTAGGATTTTTCTTTCATTTCGATTATTTTTAAAATTTTCTTGAATACCTACCGTGTACACAAGTATGTTTCTTGGGTTTAAACAAATTTTCATCACCTGTAAATAGTTTACTATTTTCCATAATCGGCGAATTTATTAGGAAAGTTACAAAATCTTTATTGCTTGGTGTTTATTGAAGTCAGTCAGTAACAACGTAGAACTTCGTACGTACGTACATCAGTTCGAGTTGCCACACCACATTAGCACAGAGATGCAGTTGTCGATTCAAATCCCGTAGTGGTAGAGGTAATAAGAGTATAAGCAGTAATCGGGAAGATTAGATTTTGGAGATGTTATTTATAGAGTATAATCCAGTGAAATAAATTTGGAAGGAGGAAAAAAGGGACATGAAGAATTCAGAAGATTAGAATTTGGGAGAACACAGAGAGTGGATGCACCTGCGCCATTGCAAACGATTTTGAGCCATGTCATTTAGGGTCTCTAACCATCGGTTGCTATCATCTCGCGGTCCCCAACCAGGTAGTCTACACCTACCAACATGACTCAGTTCACTTGTCAGTGACTTCATGGACTTGTGCCATGTTTTGGTTTGGCCACCCCTAGCTTTCTTCCAACCTACTCCTATACCACTGAACATAGCACGTCGAGGCGGTCGGTCGTTGGGCATACGTAACACGTGTCCCAGCCATCTCAACTGATGAAGTTTCACTACTTCATCAATTGATTTGCCATCCTTACCTAGTACTGATAATTGACTGAGCTTAGTTAGCTATATTGCATTAGTCATTTTTCAGTTACATTCTCTCTCTTTCTAATTGATCAATTTGCTTTTCATTTATGAGACCTATCCATTTCGTTACTACAGTGATTAGAATAATTCTTATGGATTTCCATCAATGTTACAGAGATTTTTATGTAGTGTGTGAATGTATATCTGCAACAAAGTCGGCTGTCTTCCAATATATAACTTTAACAGATGACAGTTAAATTTTTAAAAAAATATGAATAGACTACGATTGTCTTTCAAATTTTTATTTCAATGTACTGGGCACTGCAAAATGTTTTGGTGATATGTGACAACGTTAAACTTACAGCCCTAACTAACAGAGATAACCTAGCTCATAAAGTTTGCATATGCTTGTAACTTACAGTATAGTGCACTTAGACGTAATTATTTATTGGTGTGTATCATTATATCAATGTATTTCTATATTACTAAATGCGTTTCAGAAACTCCCGTCTTCTATTGGCAATTTAGTCTCCATGTTTCATCTGAATGTTGATCAAAATCAATTGACTGAGTTACCCTCTGAGGTAAGAAATTTTTAGCGTTTTGTTTTCTCACTACTGCTATTGATGTTGTCTGAATATTTTCCTTTTATAATGCATTTGCTTTCTCTTTTATTATTGTGATTCCTATTTATTTCTTATTTCCATCGAATTCAGTTGCCTTTGATTCTGCTTTTATTAAGGGATTTCTTTACATAGGTCTCATGTGTCATCAGACTAAACATGTAAAATTAAGTATTAGAAGTAAAAAAGTAATACATTTCCTAGACATTCTTTACCTAATATAGATAAAACATGTCAAGACCGTATTGTCTGATGAATAGAGTGTTAGTCAATGGGTTCCATATTCTTATCCAGTCCAATGCATTAGAAAAAAGTTAAAAACATTTCAAACAAAATGCTATTTTAAAAACCTCGAAGATATCAATGTATCTTTGATTTATTATTATTGGTGAAATTGATTTGTATGTAAATTGCAACATGTGTATACAACAGAGCTGTTGATCAAATCCAGGATGTGCATTTCATTGCATTTAGGATTCGTTAGCTGGATGTATCACAGCCCACACAAATCAAGTAACTTGTGTGGCGTATATGTATGCGGTACCTCTTTGTACCAATATTTATGTGTTCGCATAAATAAATAAATGTATTTGTAGCTATGAGGATGTTGACTGTGAACCCCAGACCCAATACTATCGCTTCAAGCGCCAGAACATCTAGTTTATACAACTGTTTAACATTTCAGTTGATTTCTGAAGTTCACTATTTATTATCAATATCGTTAACTCATTAACCAGGCGTAGATTTGCATACTTGACTTTGAGCCACACTTTATGCATTAGGACTAGTGGTTATACTCGGTTGCCGAAATCGAAGCTGGTAGTGCGGGGCTCTAACCCTCGACTTAGTGGTTAAATGTCGAACGCCTTGAGCATTAACCTGTCGCTTGTGACTATTATTCACTATCATCGTCGACCGTATGTCGTCGCTTTTAATTTAGTTGACTTCATGTAGCATGACTTTTCAATGAAACTGGAGGAAGTTTATCTCGTTACTAGTTACTAATTATTAGTGATATTGATTCATAATGAGGTAAACTCTCATCAAATTAGTTGATTATCACTGCATTTAATTCCACTGAACTATCTTTTTTCTCATGAAATTACGTGAATCGTGTAACAAATAGTACCAAAAGTAGTGATGACAATGTAAATTTTAAATAAACACATTCTTTGTTATGTTTATGTAATATATGCTTCATGCAGATTGATTATAACCGATACTCGTTAACCTAATAACTTATCAAGTAATCAGATTTCTTTCTTTCTCTCTTTATATATATCGTCGCATGCCTTTTAAAATGTAGCATTTTTTCGAATATTATCTACTTAAAGCCAAGTTAAATAGGTCAATACATAATTGTATTTCGACAAAAATGCATATTAAACGTTCGTTAAAGAAATAGTAGTTACTATTCAAACCTTAACTTGCTTAGTTTGTTGGTTGTGTTATGCCGTTCACGATGCTTGACTTGGTGAACATTTGGAGCTTATGGTTCTGGGTGTTGTCCACACTCTATCAGGTTTCTCTATTCAAACAAATAATATGGGTAAATATGATATGATTATTCCTAGTCAGTTGCGTATCTAATTGATTTAGTCTTCCCAGTTGAAGTTTTACAACCATTTGTATTGACCGTTTGTGTTTCATATAACTATCGAAGTGTCAGTGACTACCTGTTAACCACCTTCTGTGACCATAGATGGTATTGGAGCTCCTCTACTTTGATGACTCACTTGATCCTGATTGGTTGGAACGATTGTTCCTTGGAGTCAGGTTAGTTGGCAAATGAATCTGTGGTTGAGAAGCACAATATTTGATTATTATGTGGGTAGTATTTTTATGTCTTGAATACCCGTTGACAAATATCACTCGCCAAATCACCAATCAGAATCCTGGTTCTCATTAGGTCTATTATTTACTCTATAGCTTAGTATCTTTAAATTAGCCAACTACACGCTCGACCAGCACTATTGACTTTGAGCCGGCGGCTAGGTTCCTATTGGTTCATTATTCGAAAACCCTTTCTTAAAGTCAAAAAGTCATCAATTAACTTCTAATATATATTTTAAACGGACGTGGTTTACATACGGGCATACCAGACGGTACCACACCATAAAATGAGAAATAACCATTGTACATGAACAAGCCAAAAGTGCTAGTGAACAGGGGGGACTGTGAGTAATAGACAGGCAATAAATTAGGAATAGCATATCTCACAACATTAGTTAATGAGTCAGCCGAAAGCTTATGATAAGTGGAATATATGTACGTATTGATCTAGTTATTCAGTGATTATACAACAAAATTATAGTTAATGATTCAAAAAACCTGTTCCAATCTTTACAATATTCGTTCTGTCATAACAGTATTCACTATTTCTTTGCCTTGAAGTGTATTCGATACAAACTACGACCTTAGAATAACCAAATATAACAAATATATGTATTTTTTAGTCTTACCACGTTTATTTTCGAGATAATAATTGATATTATAGTAGTTTTGTAATAAATGATGTATTTAATTGGAAACAACTTCATACAATGATATTCTAATTGTTGATAATGATAGACTTGATTAGCCAAATTTGTCTCAAAATGAAATCATTTAGTAAGGATTTGTATTTATAAATTCTGACAATGCTTTATATGACATTTCCTCCAAGTTACTGAAATGCAATATAGGTTTACTGTTTAGCCTACTACTTTTCGCTGTATTTTTTTCATGGTTGAAGCTTCACTAGAGCTAATCACCATTCCATCGATGTTATTCATAATGCTGATGAGCATCTAGTAGTTATGCTTCGACAAGATATTATAATACTCTGATAATAAGGTCTTAACAATATATGAATTTATCTAAATTGTCTATAGTAACCAATGATTGAATGCGTTCAATTTTGCGGACTGCTTTTGCTGTTAGTATAAAGTTCTACGCTTAGATGAGATGAATTCCCGACCGTTGCCGCTACCTTCACATGGTGGTCAGGCTTGTCTATCGTGATGAACCAATTGGGTTATACTGGCTGGAACAATGGTTCCTTAATGTCCTGTCATGTCAGATAGGTTGGTTGAAGAGCAAAAAAGGTTCTCAAATGCCCTGGTACGGCCGGGAGTGGGGAGAGTCAGCTTTCCTTCTCGAAATCCTCCCACATGGCCACGTGCATACAACCACTACCAGGAAGTTCTACTCACTACCGTCTCGTGGCGAGGGTGTTGTTTACGAAATTAAGAAAACGAAAAGCGAATGTCAGGCGCCTTAACCGGGTTGGTGGATATGGAGAGTCCACCTACGGGGGTTGGAAAACCCTGATTCCAAACCAATGGTGCAGATGGGCTCCAGTATCCTGAAGGAACAAATGGCGTATGAACCAATCGTTGGTCACCGGCTACCATGGGACTGAATCTTCTTACGATGCTCCACTGCCTTGTGGATCAGACCTATAGGTCAAAGGCTGGAAGTGTGACCCCTAAGAAAACCACCTGCTTCGGTTTGGGCATCCGGGCAGTATTACAGCCCTCACACATATCAAATGAGATCTGTGTGGCGCATATGTATTTGGTGCCTCCTTGTACCAATATTTATATGTTTAATTGATAATAATATGATTGAAGAGCGGTAAAGCTAAAACCTAAGGTCCGAGGGCGAAGTCGTACTGCTGAATGTTCAGAAGTGTGATGGCAGTAAGGTGTTTCCCTCAGACGACGAGCATAACAGCTATCCTGTCTTTCCACAAAGGAAAGATTGGGATAGAATAGGTTGACCCTAATAATCCACACCTTACCTTATCCCACGAATGTCCGTCTTCGTCGGTACGGTCACCACAAGTACGGAGCTAACAAGAAAATTACCGACAAACAGTTCGTGTATGACCGACCTTAAGCAATTTTCTCTTGCGTACTGGGGTCACGCTCTCAGGTCACTAAGGCCACCTCTAATCCTATTTTCTTTTCAGGTATCTCGAGGAAACCCGCCCACAGTGCGGGAAGTGATAACCATCCTCATACATCTAACAACATTCAACACTGGTTGATCTCCCAAGTTAAAGTATATCATATACACTTATCTTTTCATTCTGCGTTCAATGAATTCCGTAACTTTTATTTTCTTTATTTAAATTCAGACACGATTCAACTTGACCTGTAAGAGAAAGATCTTCAACCAATCTGTAATTTTACTACAAACAGAATTAACTTCTAGCAGTTAGATATTATTACATGTTACCTTAACCTATCGATAATGTTAGTTTCACTAAATGTATTTACTGTACACTACTCTATATATATATATATATATATATATATATATATATATATATATACGAAGCGTCACAACATATGACCTAATTATTCATTCTATGCCACAAATTTCTTTGTATTGTATTCAGGAAGCAGATAGTAATTGTAATTGTTTTTGTGTGTAGTACTATTAAATAGATTCAGTTGTATTGACAATAATATTGGTATTACTTGTAGCAATAATAGGTTTGTTTTGTGTTTTTTTTTTGTTGTTGTTGCTCTATCCAATTGGTTTCCTTGTCCTACATAAAAGTGTCAGTGAACTGATTTAACTACACTAACAACCATAAATAAAGTGTGAATCTTTTATGTGAACGTTATAGTGCATACATTTTATTTATTTATTTATTCGTTGTAAACTATCCTACTGAACCAACAACTGGACGGACTGTACACAATAATACATGATGGTGACATATAACAATGACTTAGTAGTTAAGATATTCGACTTTCAACCCTCAAGCTCCAGGGTCGAACCCTTCTACACTTATGTCAGTTTGAACAACCAACTAGTATAATTATCCCTGACACTTAAAGTGTGGCTTATATTCAAGTAACTGGTAAGTGAGTTAATTAATATTCACTAATATTAGCCTAGTACAAACGATTTAGTTATTCAACTTGTCTGATTTTTTAAGTTTATTATATGGTGTATTCATTCAGTTTTTTACTTTTATTGGTTTGTTCGTCTCTTTTGTCTCTTTGTTCCATATATTTTAATTCTACTTCACCTTTTTTTTTCTTCAAATTTTATAGATTGGTCAATGTGCATCACTTAATATTTTGTCTCTTCGAGAAAATAATTTGCATAGATTACCTAATGAAATTGGTAATTGTACACGTTTACGAGTTTTGGATGTTTCTGGGAATAGGTAGGTTTTTATTTATTTTTCAACAATTGTTACAATGATAATATTGTCATATCTTTGAATTTGCTAACTGTCCAGAAAGAGTGAGGTAAAACAAAGTACACCTGTCATTGACAAGCTTATACGTGTCCATGTGCACGGCAGAAGCTTTTGATATTTGGCTGAATTAACAATTTTGCTATTCAGTTGCGTAACAATCAAAAATTTATTTCAAAATACATGAAATCCGTTCAAGGTTAACATACTATATACTTATCCACCCGTTTATAAAAACTTTTCGGATAAAACCTTGAATATATATATATATATATATATATATATATATATATATATATATAGTTGTGTTTCTAAGATGAATCCACAAAGAAGCCTGCAGTAAATTTATTATTCATAATGAAATGGTTAAATTTAGACTGGTTATAACTAAATATATTAAACGGTATACTTCATGTAATTCCACTGATTGGCCATAGACTTTAATCATAATCTTCGTTTCCGTTAACATTAATTGGACCCGAATAAGATAGAACAAATAATCGAATACGAGCAATCTGATTCAAGTTACCACTTATTCCTTATCATAACATTTTCTTTAATTTATATTTGTGTACTCATTTAATTGTCATCCCTGAATTTAATTTTTCAACATAATCATTGCCTTAGACGACGATGTTTCAGTCACTTTTTATATTCACGGCAAATGTATACCAAATCACATTCAGTAAAGGTCGATTAATATGTTAACTGTGTTTGATTTCTATCTTAGAGAGTATTCTTTCTTTTTAGTTTATGGTTGTATTTATTTATTGAAATAATTCTTATATTATTGAAATTACTTTCTAGACTTGATCGTTTACCGTTTAGTTTATCAAGATGCTCATTGACAGCTTTATGGCTTTCACAGAATCAATCTCAACCAGTTATTACATTACAAAGAGATGTGGATCCTGTTACTCAAGAACAGTATCTCACATGTTATTTACTACCACAGGATCAACTAGACTCACGTGTTGAAACTGGTAAGGTTAAGCTTCTTTTTCAATGCCTTTTATTAGATATTTTTGAATTTTGTTTTACTGTTTGTAGCACACTACAATACCATGTCATTTGGCTTCATTTTCCCAGTGATCGATAAACTCTAGTATTATTGAACATTAATTCATTTAAATAGTTTTAACTTTAATTATCTGTACCACCGTCTACACTTATCGTAGTTGTGGTATACATATATACTACTGTTTTAGTAAACACTTAAGTAGCGAATAGATTTCTTAGAAAAAATCTTTTGGTAAATCACAAATCATGATATGTATTTGGAGGCGAATACCCTGCAATCAGACTTTATTGATTTTGTGCATTCATTATAAATTTATATCTGAGTCCGTAAAGACTTGACTGTCTACATTTCATCTGAACTACCTTCTAATACTTAGCCTTTATTATCACTTTGCATAATGGAATTGCTTCTTAAATTTGTCCCATTTCGGGTTATCAATTGATTCCTCTCTCCACTAATAGATATGCGAATATACGCTTAAATAACACGACACCTTTCTCCATAGATGAACATTTTTCCACTCAATCCTTACTAGATCAATTTGTATCAACTTAACGAAGAAAGGTGTTAGGACAGCACTAAACATAAGTTATATGACAAAAAATAGTTAAGTGAATTGTAATATCACTTGTAAATGAACTTGTTGTGGTCGTCATTCGATAGTATTCTTAAACTTCGTATGCTGTTCGTTCTGATAACCGTTACAAGATAACACCTCCAACGGTGTATAGATCAGAAGACGAGTACGAAGTGTTGATCGCATTTATTATTGCATGACGCACAGATCACTAAATCCACAGGCACGCAAAACAAAAATGAAACGCTAATGCCGAAAAGCAAGTAAATGAGAGAGTGTGCGAGGCGAAAATGAATAAGATTAAAATGTGCATATATATACATAGGGAAAAGAATGAGCCATCGAATCATTTAAGCTACTAACACTAAAGTTAACAGAATGAATATGTGCGTAGGCGGTAAGCAATGCTCAATCATACATATTCATACAAGCGCAAAGATATTCATGGTACAATGGTATGGATAAGTTGTTATTGTAAGAACGACTCTGTTTGTTAAATAAGTTGACAACAGGTCTTAACCAAATTAAATGTGAACAAACTCAAATGTACGTGAGCTGCTATAAACCATGTGAAGTGGTCATTACTTTGATGCTTTTGTCAAGGTTTTGTATTATTCAAAGGGAATTTTATTTGTAACCGACATTTAAGGTCCAGAGTCTCTAATTCACATTACTAAAATCCTAAATGAAAACAATATATAGTTATCTCTAGCACTGTGATTTTCAATAGTTTTATAGTCGATGACATTGCATTATGAAAAAAAACAATCAACTCTCGTACTAGTAGGTAATTACTAGCTGTTTGTAATTCGAAAGTAGTTTTCATTAAAAATTATGTGTTTCAAGTTTAATGTATGGTGAAAATCCCTATCCTTGGATCAACTTAATCTTCAACAAAACAATTGTCAGTAGTTGCTCTACTTTCTCATGCTTTAATTTATAGTTGTGTTTCATTTTTGATTGGTAGATACGTAATATTGGTTATGAGATGCTACTCCTGTTTATATATGCAAATAATTGGTTCTCACTTGCATACCGCTAATATTTTATACAAAAACTATAGATTATAGTAGGGACAGTTTGTTTGGTTACTAGATGACTTTTGGTCATTAGTTTTCTAGGCATGTTTTTCCCCAAGTATTTTTGAGTTGCGCAATCAATTAATGTTTCTAGATACTTCGAAAATGTAAGATATATGCATATATCCATATATATATAATCTCATTTTAGGACTTACCGTTAATAGACATTATTTTTAAACGTATGAATTCGAGGATGACAAAATTGGTGGTTATTGAAGTTTGTTATAAGGATTACTGAATGTATGTGTGTTGCGTTTAGGATTGTAAGATAAAGAAAGAAATTTGTTTCACATCTTAGAAAATGTATGGATCAACAGTAAGTTTAAAAAATTAATGGTAATTTACAGTTGATTGGTTACAGGGCCATTAACAAGTCAATTGTAAATATCTCAGTTCTCCAAGAGATCAGTTACTATCCTAATAGCTCAGTGGTAGTATTTCAGATTATTTCTCTGTATGATACGAATTCAAATCCTGCAGAGCATCAGTCCCCCACGATTGATTCCAAGTACTACATGTTTGTGACTGGGGTTTTGTATGAAATCTAGATCCAGTGTTTCCTATAGACCACCTCCAACCGCCTTACAATTGATGATAATAGATTTAGTGAGTCACATCTTGTTTAAGGTCTTACATTGTGACAAGTAAAAAAGAATAGTTATTCTTGTGATCCAGTGCTAGTTGTAGAGCTTGAAATGAGAATAGGGCTCTGGTATGCCTTATCAAAAGCAACTCTTGCATACTTTCTTGTTACTATATTAATGCATGCGAGTGTTTTTTCGACTTGGTGGTTTGCATTCATTACATGAGATAACTCGAGAAGATTGGCTAATTTAACTGTTCATTTTCTCAGTCACGTTAAGCATTTTTAATGAGACTAAGTTTTTCTGGTGTTTTCGGATGGGCAGTTAGATTTGTGAATGTAGACTAGATCATTTTGTTCTTGTTTGATTTTGCTTTCGATAACACATGGTATGTAATGTTAAAGTTCAGCAGTTTGATATTTAAGGTAGTGTAGGTTATGAATCCATTTGTTTTCCATCTTTGAAAGCAAGTATGTCATTCCAACTGTTTACTACTTTTCAAAATTCTGAATATTATTGGGTAATTTTGTTTTGGTTGCTCATTCTTCAACTACAATTTAGCAGCTGTAAAACTGCAATACATGTCAAACTGTCTTTCTACCTACTCTTAGTCTTGATTTTAATTCATACGATATTCGTAGTGAAATATCTTTACCAATATGGTTCTTGTATTAGGTAACATTATGGTCTAAATGATGTTTTTCATAGTACTCTTTATAATCTGCGTGTTTCACAAATTAAAAATATTTTTATCATTCAGAAATAACACTTCAACAACATCTCATTATTTAAAGTATTTCGCTTTATCCATCCCAAATTGTTTTTGCTCAATTTTGAGAATTTCTTTACCATGATGAAGTAATCTAGATTGATCGTACTCTCTGCGAAGGGTAATAATGGGAATCAATAATTATTTCTTCATATTTAGCCGTAGTTAATAGCAATAGGGTTTAACACAGTGGTACAGTTTACCGAAAGTGTAACGATTTATCAATATAAAATCTAAAAATCTAATATATGTTTGATAAATTTAATTAAGTTTTAATTTAATCTATCTTCTAACTTTAATCCTTAATAATAGTGCTAAAAGTTAAATGACCTGTCGTAATCTTCGCGATTAGTTGTACTGCGTAAATCCAATCTCTTTAAATATATCAATAATACTGTGTATTTATGTAAAGATTTCCAGCTGTTCAGGACTCGATGCAAAAATTGAGTTTCTAGACATAAACCATTTAGTCGTGATATTTCTGACTCGTCTGAGAATATCTTCTAACGTGATAAAATAAATACAATATATGAATAACTGACTCACTACCCAGTATATGGTAAACTGACAAAGACTAAATACAAGATATGCCGCCAGTAGTTTAAATATTGAAAGTAGACACGTACTTCCTGGTTGAATTTCATATACTACTTTAAACTGTGATTGTAAGCATTTAGAAGTGTAGCTCGAAATCGACTGTACTCAAGGAAGTACATTCAGTTTTTCCCCATCTTATCGGATTTCTGAACACTATGACAGGGTCTCTCGCACAACCTCCACCTTAAATCAGTGTCGAGTAAAATATTGTAAATGTATCCCTTACCCAAATGCTAGAAAGCTATGCTTAATGTTCACAAAATCTGAAACGTTTAACAGCCCCATCTTTATTGTTAGCTGTTGTTCTGAGGTCATTGCTTACTATAATTTCTAAATTTTTATATTCATTAATTTTATGTTATGACATTTCAGTCATTTATATCACTAAACATTTGAGTTTTTTCGTAAGAATTTCGATTCCCAATTTTCCTCCGTTTTCTTTTGTGTTCTCTTATAGATCCAACTATGTCACCATCTGAATTAGATAGCTTTTCTGCTTCATTAAACGCCAACACTAAAACAAACCATGATTTACTTGACAATATCAGTGCTGAAATTAATCATACCTATGAGCCTGCAGATATGCATATATCAATTCCTCAATCAGATCTTTCAAAAAATCGAAGTATTTCACCATCGAAACATGAATCGACTAAACCATCGACTTCACCATCATCAACACTGAATGATAATTCAGCAATAACAAATGATCCTAATTCATTAAACAATCATCATTCAATTAATTCTACAACTGATCCTACAAAAAATTTACCATATTCAAATTCATCTATTAATTCACCGTCAAATGTAAATGGTAATTTAGATTCATCCTATACATCACCAAATCATATAAATGATCTTTCTACCTCATCTGCACATTCATCTCTATCTATGCAAACATCTGCATCAACTCGTGTTCATTTCTCTGGTTCAGTTAAACCTGATGAGATGGTAATATATTAATATTGTTCTTTATTATTAATTCTAATCTTTCATGTCTTATATGATTTTCTCTTGAATTACTTTCATTATTTCATGATAAATATATTTTGTGTATCCTCTCTGTGTATACACGTTTGTCTACTCATTTCTCTACTCTATATGTGTACTTGTGTTATGATTATGTAAAGCATTATATTTACATAGTTTTTTAACCATGAATTTTCACTCCATTATTCATAACGATAAGTAGCTTTTTTGTCTCGGAAAACAATAAACCATAAACTTATTCTTTCCTCTTGATGCTTACTTAATATGTATTGAAGTGCCTTTGAATTGTGAGAGAAGTATTGAATTGCTTCAAGACAAACGTCTACTGATAGATACTATGCGAAAGAATCTGAACAAGTCAATTTGCTTCACAGTGTTCATTAATTCGTTTAACAATTATCAACTGATAACTAGATCTCAGTTCAATTAAAGCAGTTGATGTACCGTTGATAACTGCCTGTTTTTATTCTTTAAAGCTTCTATTGAGTTGAAGAATGACTGTATATTTTATCTAAATACAAGCTGGCAAGTATACGCATATTTAGGTTTGTTGGATTGATTATACACTCTACCTAGTGCTCTCTACTCTGGATCAAACATAGTCCATGTAGATAAAATATAGCGTGATAGTAGTTATCTTTCCAGATATAATATAGTAGTATAGTTTCCTCCTGTATATCAATGCTGTCTCCAGTCATGTTCATCTACAAATATATTCTATTTATCCTCACTACCTTTCTTGTTAATTCAACGATACACATTTTAAATGTGCAAATCTTTCTGAATAGTGTGATAACTTTGTCTTTTCACTGTTAGAAGAATCCATGTTTTTAAAAACGAAATCTTTTTTCTACAAAACAACAGTTCAACTTCAAACAATTTTGCATTACTGTTTTTCTTACCGTGTCACAAAAAACTGCATCTTCAGTAATGATATAATTATGTCGCTTTAGTTTACTCAACGTCCAACCTTGTATTTATGGTAATATTGTTCACTTACATCCGTATCTAGATCCTAAGCGCCAACGCAAACCTGCTGTAGGAAATAGTTTTCTCTTTGTTCACGGTTTAGTTAATACTTGAAATCTGTTTTTATTGAATTTACTTCATTCATTTCCATATTTTTATTGCTCCATTTATTATTATTATTATTATTATTATTATTATTATTATTATTATTATTATTATTATTATTATTATCAACAGGATAAATCAGGTTCCAAAGGTTTTCCAAAAACACGTCATCCCCGTTCCGGTAAAAAAGCTACGGATAATCATCTTATTAGTGGTAAAGATGATTCCAGTCAATGCAGAAGTGTAAGTTCCTTTTGTTAATTATTTAAATTTTTATACAATTCTTTAGGAGTGCACAGGTTACTGTAAAATAAACTATTCGTATTACAAAAAGTGTTGTTCATGTATGTAGATTAGTTAATTTTGCCTACTACTGTGTTATTTTTGGTTAGTTTTGAAAATGGCATAAATAACATTAAAATATGTAATATTTTTGGATAGTTCTTACTACTTTGTTTCTTGTCACTGTTATTATACCATTAAAATAATCGTCGATTTTATTTGATTCAAGTATCGACTTCAATGAATACATCTCCATATGAAAAATATGTTACATCTAATTCATTATAAATGAAATGAGTATATTTCATTGGAACAATAAAATTTAGTGAGTAAAAACCCGAAAATATTTATCATTTCATACTGTTGAGGACAAAGTATCAATTAGAACTTCACTATCTGTCATTCTTTCACTATCAAGCATATGTGAATTAGTAGAATTTATTCTTGATGAATCCAGATGACTTTTTATTCAATTTCACTGTCATGTAGATATCAATTGTTGCTGAATCCCAGCTTGACACAGAATCACCTAGTGTTTTCAAACATTTATACCAATAAAATATTGGGATTTTTATAAGATCTAAAAATCTGTCACCGTATTGTTGATATAAACTCCAAGTAAATCGGACTACAATAAATAATTACGATTGGCAAATATTTTTACTGTCTGTCTACATTGTTTCTAGCCAGTTCACTACTTAATAGTATGTTCAGTGTTATTATCGTATAATTGCAAAGGATAACCTTGTTAATAATGAAACATTTATTATTTCTTTATCGACTTGAAGCTTCATTTTAATCTTGAGTAGTTGAACTCAGTGTTTGCTCATGATTATCCAATGACCGTAATTAAATGCTAAATATAGTAAAAGAATTTTATCATCGTTACTGAACACTTTTCAATACAGTCAGAACATTTTTCTCGTTCAGCAGTAGTGGATAGAAAGAATCTGTTCACTATGATTGTACAATTAAATAAGATATCGGGCGAATGATATCAAACTGACTGTCTTTGTTTTTGTAATTTATGCAAGCATATCATGTTTTCACTATCTCTGAAGGTGTTTTGAACTTGAAACATGTGATATGCATGTTGCGCTAACCGTTTACTTAATACCTGATCCTAAAATCAATTATTTATTTGCATAAACGGTTTTTGAAACTAGAATTTGTGTTTACCACTAGTTTTTATGTATATGCACTCTTCTATTCTCTAGCTGTTTCTACATTCGTTAGCATACTATTAAAAAAACAGGTGAAAAATAAGATAATCACAAATTCACTTATTGAATATTTAGATGGTGAACAGTAGTATAATATCTCTATTAACAGTTAACTTCATATACAATAGTGCAGTTTTGTAAGATTAAATGATATACATTAGAGTGATTGTAAAGGTCTTACCTGTTTCGATTGTTTGTCTTAGTTCATAATTAAAACAAGATTTTTGTTTTAGCAACAGAATAGGAGTATGTAGTCAACTAATTTGATTCTTAATTCCTTAAATCGATAACTATCCAAAATCTTAATCTCATTAGTATTCATTTTATTCTTTATGGGAAGATGACTTATTTGTTTCGACATTTGACTTTCAACAACTCATTCATAGGTCCGAGTCTTGCTCTACCTAATTTAGTTTGGGCAACGTGATAGTATTACTAAACGTCACACTTAAAGTGTGACTCTAAACCAAACACATAAACTTGTACTCGGCGAGTGAAATAAATCATTATATTCTTTGAGATGTGATCGTTTCTTGTACTAAAAAAGAGTGCAAATCGTGTTATCAGAACCCACAGCATACTTAAGAAATCTGTTATCGCTAGTTATGTCTACATCTTGATTTATTACAAGTTTTTTAAATAACTTGACTAGTTGCACACTATAGATGATATCTGAGATAGTATGATTCTTGAAAATGATTATTAACCATTTCGATCTTATTCGTCTATCTAATCTGATTTTTTTAAAAGCTTTATAGTCCTCTTATTTACTGATTAACACCAGTATTTTCGGATTTTCATGGCTTCTTACATTCTTTTTTACTCCACAGCCATATTAATTAGTTAATAATCATTTAGATCATAGGTTAAATTGGTCAGATCAGTGTCTATGATCTCAGACAAGAACTCATGCTTACATTTCTTATCATTGTGTAATATTCCTAAAATAGGGATCCATTAACAATAGTTAGCTTCCACCATTTTTTTTAGCTGATATCGGAAAAAAACAGCCGATCGCTCTTCTTTGACCTCATACTTTTAAACATTGAACTAGTCATTGCATTTTCACTAATTACCATAAAATTGTGCTTACACGAACTCGTACTTAGTTAGTAAGTCACATGTGTGAAGGGTTTTTTTATCATTGTCCCATATCGTAATCCAATATTTTCTCCCTTTATTTTCATGTTTAAGGCTAATTTATCTTCAAATACATTTTCTGATGGCACCAGTTCTGCTAGTTCATCAGAATCTCTAAATGATGGAACTGCTCCAATCTCACTGTCGGAATCATTAAATTATGATTGGAAGTCTCCAAAACCTATTGATTCTAATTTTAACTCTTCCATTTATCCAAATCATCTAATGAAATCGAATGATGGGAGTTCTGTGGTAACTGACGATAATCTTATCTCCACCGTACCGACTGCCAAGTTAGTTACCATTATTTTTTATTCATCCCATTTGATGTACTAATTACAACAGTGTTTTCAAATTTCCTTACAAATATTTCCTATCTGTGGTAGTAGTTCAAACTGCCAGTTTTAAAACCAGGGTTTTTCCTAAGGCTTTAGTATGGTTTAGAAGAGAGCAAAGCAGAAGCAAGTGTTTACGCTTATGTAATGTTTACGTCTTTCTGTCGAAGATCAAGCGTACATGTCTCCTTGTATGATAATTTTAAACTTAAAATCTAAGGTAAGGCCAATAGTAAATTCACGTACACCATTCCAAACAATTTTGAGCCATGTCACCCAATTTCTAACTATTGGTTACGGAATTTGTGCGAACCCCAGCCAGATTGTCTACACCTACGTATTCGGCTCAGTTTGTCATTAAAGAATAAAATGTAAATAAAATAGCGATTCACAGTTGAAAAGTTGTGACTAATGTATTTATTTTGAGTAAATTCTTATCAACATTAAAAAACTGTGCAAAAAAACTTTACTATCAGAAGTTATCGAATCTTTTTAATTTTAGTATTCACTCGCATCACACTTCTCCAAATTTCTAGCCTATAAACTGTGACAAAACTTTCGATCGTTTGAGATAGTAAAGTCATTTTCTAAGCTCTCTATTTAAGCAGTGTTTAGACAGTCAAATGATTATAACTTAAGATTAAATACTCTACCCTTGTATGTGTGTCAATTCATTGTTTGACGTACTACATACTTCCTGCTTATGTTCATTTTTATTTTTATAACATTCCTTTGCTCATCGATAATATTTCCTTTATCTAGACCACGCAATAAATCTCAACATGTTACAGAAATGTTTGATAATAAACCTCCTCAATCTTCTAATTTTTTCAACGAACACCCAGCGTCAAAATCTCCTACAGAAATAAGTAAACCTAAAATTCCTAGCGATACCGTAATTAGGATGGCCTCTGTAGAAGATACTTCAGATGCTCATTCCACTCGTGGATCTCCGGTAAAAAAATTTCCCGATACTTTGGAAGTACAAGGGAATCTTGATGAAGATGCCTATAGTAGTGGAGGTGTAAGTGTTGATTTATTATAAATATTTGTTCGATTTTTTCTAAACATTTGATACGATTGAAAAATTTACATATTGTTTAAACGTTATCATTCATAATAGAATTACTTTTAAAAAGTTCCAATTTATATTTCTGCCTAGAAAAAATCAATAAGCAAGATACTTATTTGTTTTTTTTTCACCCATATGAATGAATTTGAATTCACTAGCTGGTACTGTATTTAAACTTAAACCACCAATCATAGTAGTGGTAGAGATTTTGTCATTACTAGTAGATTCAAGTGTGTTGATTGTGTTTCAGTGAAACCTACAAAACGCTCTTCATATATGAGATTTTCGATTTTTTCCTTTTGAATACCTTTTCAGGTTAACTTAGTTTGTCCTTCTCTTAAATATTTTTATTGTTGTCGTTTGAGTTTGGTACTGAATTCATGTTTACAAATACACCTTATATATATCAACCATTAATTACTTAGTGCATGTGTTACATATTGCTATTTTTTAGTACTTATGAGTTTTAATATTATTAGAAAAACTTTTTTCCCCAAAAATTTAAAGCTATTCCAAGTGCTAACAAAAAATTGTACGCTTCCCTGTGTTACATCAATTTTAATGTTTTCTCAGTAAATATGTCAGAGCGTGTATGACGACAACAATTGCTATGTATATTGTTTTCCAAATCATTATCGTTATTTTTCACAAGGTACACATGACATTTACCGTCATATACATTTTCATTAATCCTAATTATAAACTTAGAATAGGATAATGTATGCCTGTCTTTCCGTCTACCGCTCTCTCTAACCAGTTTGTATCGGCTTAGCCAACCACTGGATTGAAATAATGTATTCAGTGGAAAATAACTGAAAATTATGTATAACCAATGCTCATAGTGATCGTAGTAGTGGTACTACTACTACCACTAATAATAATAATAACATTCAGTTGAATATATAGATTAAAGAAAGCTTATTATCAGAGATAATTTGATCATTTTCACTGATCATCAGTTCAGTACCATGATACGAGATAGAATTTCCGATATAATTATAGTCTGTTTTTAGAAAAAAGAAAACTGACATGAGTAACACAGCATTTATACAAATTTGCATTGATGCCTTCATTGTTATTAGGCACATCTAAACGACATTGCAACTTTGTAGTTACATGACACGAACTGAATAGTCAAAATGATGGACATAATTATTCTAAATATTGTCCGTATATGAATGGATAAATAGTTCGCATGAAAAATGTTGATATGAGAAATAAACGTAACTTAATATTTTGAAGTGCTAATTCGGATCATGAGCCGATCAATGTTAGACCACTTTTAAAAACTCTGGAAGCACTGAACGACCTTTTCATTTTAATATGAGACTTCTCAGCAGTGCACATCCACGATTCTGCACGCAAGACTCGAACCCAGGGCGTTCAGTTTTGCGTGAACACTTAACCTTTGAGGAGTCCCATACTGGGGTGAGAAAGCTGTCTAGTGCTTCCAGATTTCTAATGGTTGTCTATCTTACATCAGTTCGTAATTTCCTAAAATTCTATAATTCTCATAACCTTCATGCTAAAAACTAGAATTAGTTGCATCTATGAGCGATGTTATAAAATTTCCATCTTTCTTAACCAGATGAATTGAGCTTTATATATAAGAAATATTTTTAAACTTTTTAAGTCGTAGCTGATATTAAGGTTTATATTCCTTATTGTTTATTTCTACTCATTTGTTCGTGTATGGTTGGACTAATAAGTGGATACTGCAAACATTGTAAGCAACGAATCTGGTAAATAACGAATCTATCGATGAGGTTGTAGATAGTTGACCAAGATGGTTCAGAGGTGTGTTACACATGCTTAGCCTCCAATAACCTTGTCACATAATCCTTGTTGAAAAGAATTTAGTGAGAGTTAGCAAAAGTGATATTCCACCAACCCCCTGAAGACATGAACTTTTGATCTGAGCCATGTGGACAAAGTTAAGACTTCTTGATTGATGCCTGTCTTATATCTGTAATCTATAGATGCATATGTTGGTTGATATTATTTATATAGTACGAAATCAACTTCCTTGATGTCGTTGCATTCTTTCTTTATCTTCCAATAAACTTAGCTGCAAGTAGTAAGTCAGTAAGTTTCAAAGCTGCTGTTCAAATTGTTAGCTAACGAAAAAAAAGGTTTTATTACATATTTTCGAAAAACGAAATTTCAATAAAAACGAATACTTACAGATTTGTGTTAACTTAAAATCGTTTTTAAACTACCATACACAAACAGTGTTACGACGTATGGTTTATGAATTTACTACAAGTAAGTGACAAACATTTTGTGTGAATGACCTCATTTTACTAATATCAATAAACATTTGTCCACATCAGTCATTATTTATCCAACACTGTATCATAATTAGTTCTGTAAATTTATTGTTGTTATTTCAAGAAAGAAAAAGACATGTATTCAAGTTCAGACGTGACTCATTGTTGCTTCTACATGTACATGTGATTTAATATTTAATCGGTTATAATTTATGATATTACATTAAGTTGACTGATTTCAAGCTGCTACACTACTCATATTTAAAGTGAACTAATATCTAGCAATGACAGAACACATTAGGTTATCATATTACCATTAATATACGTTTAAATACAAGTGCTTGTAATGATGAGCCGCACTTAATATAAGACCATTAATTGCTTTGTTCTAAGTCACTCTGTTTTGTGTAAATATTTTGTATGTCGGTATATCGTAGTTTTAATTCTCTGAAACCTATGATTATTTAGTTGGCCAGTGAGTAATTATATCTTCCGATATTTAATTGAAAATAACCAATTGATTGTATAAAGAAATTATCAGTTCGCATACCCCAATCGTATAGTATTCTTATAATCGATTCTCGTGGCATAACTTTTGTCTTCTATTGTTTGGATGCTTTTTTACTTGAATGCTTCATGTTAACCGCATGAAAAAAATGTTGCATTTGACTTATGATTTAAAATTCGGCCGTATTTCTCACAGAATAATACTTAATTTAAACATATTGATATATGTGTATTCACTAGTTTTGCTAATGAAGTAAAATATATATCCATAACCAATCAACATTCTAAAATTTTAATCTTCGTTTATTCAAACTACTTTTTAAGTTTCTTTTGAACTGGTTCTTCTCTGTTATTTTTCTGTTTGTAATTTGTTTCCAGCCACCGGATTCATAGATGTAACAAAACAATGATTGACGTAATTGCTGTTCATTTAGTTCGTTAATTAATAGTTCTAATATCAAATTAAGATTTGAATCTATTTATTCAATTACTTGAAATCTAATTCACAACTCTTCTCGAAACCAGTCATTTCATTGTCGTTTGTTAAGTTTACAGAGTTTCATCAGTCTGTCAAATTATAATTTCATCGGATTTTAATTAGACTTTTTACTATCAAAACAGATTCATGTTCTGTAAGCGTTGTAAATAAAATGTTAAAAACTATGTGATACTTAACAACATGAAATTATTTTGTTTGAATGATATGTGGAGATTTCGTATAGTTTGATTTTAGTTTTCATTATAAACCGCAGTTGTAGGTATGTTGTGCACTAATAAGCTTCAAGTTAAAATAAAGCAGTTGTTTCCATGCTCTGGTTTCCAGACGCTTTTTCAACCAATGTCATTTCTTTATAGCGCTGACTTCCAAGTTTTGATACTAGCTGTAAATGTTTATGAACTTTCGTATTCAATCGTTCTAAAGAGCCTGTCTGTAATTATTTGTTAATTCCAATATAATAGATTTTCTCACTCCATAAGTATCCATTTCTTTAATATAAAAAGCAACTTGTCCACTGTTCTTGACAATTCAGTACAGCTTTGACTCAGTGATCTAACAACATTTTTTTATCTTTAAGACAATTATTCCCTTTGATAAATTTCGATAATGCAATAAGAAGATGAAGTTTATGATAATTATTTGATAGATTTGCGCAATACATTTCGAACAGTCTATTAAATAATCAATTTTTTAACTGTGTTACACCCATCTATTTTAATGGAATAGTAGTAAAAATTGACTATGTTTTTTACTGTTACTAATATTTACTATTTTACATATTGTAGGAAGAGATTTACGTTATTTCTAGACGAGTTGGATTCACAGATGATGTGGAAGATAATGAAGAGAAATCAAATCAAAAACTTATTCGACGTGATACACCACATTATACAAAACGCGCTCGAATTCAGTCAAAAACAGCTGATGGGAGTAAGTGCAATTATGAATTTTACTTCCTATTGAATGTCAATTCCAATTTAGTTAATGAAATACAGGGAATGAATTGAGACTATTTGATGATGATGTAATGAAAGTCATTAAGTTTTTTATAATGAATCATTTAACTCTCATTATGCAGAGATAATGTTTTTTTGTTTCAACTTTTTTTAGTTGAAGGTTATTTTTTGACTGTGTATGAACATATTTATGCTGACAGCTTGTAAACTTACATTAAATTGTACTAACTCGGGACCTGGTTAAGGATGATACGCTATAAACGCTAAATATAAATTCCGTGTTTCGTGTTGTTTATTAAAATATAAGGTTCTGTTCTGTGAAGTTTATATATGAATTCATTTCATAGCCACACAGTTATTGAGACCTATCTACTGATCTCATTTCTTCGTTTGATTACCTTTGATCTCTTTTCTACCACATCAGTATTCGACACCTAAGCAAACAGTAATTAGAGAAATTATTTTATTCGCTAGAGTTCATTCATAAATAAATAATCATTGAAAAAATACGTCTATTTTTTTAGTTATTAGTTTTATTAACCTATTCCTTGAAAAATACAATGTGGGAAATATTGTTTATACTCCCATATTTTTTTGCCTTTATGCGTATATTGATATTTCAACGTCGAGATAGAGAATGTAGTTGAATAAATATATGATCGTGAATATTATTATTAGTAACTCTACTTCATAACACAATTCAAATTAAGTATTACATGATTCTTCAGTCCATTTTTGTGTTCATTTATTCCCCTCTGTCTCTCTCTCTCCTACATCTCTCGACCTCATACTATTGTAATTGCCTTTGTGTTTGTTTTCTAATCGTGAAGTGGATAGTGAAGAAGCAGTATTGAAAATATTAGAAAAGTATCGAGCATCCGTTTCACCGAATCCTGATTCAAATTCAATTGATGTAAGTCATTGTCGTTATTACAATTGTTTGCTTTTTGTTATCCTGGTTAATATAAAAAAAGGTTGATACTAATTCCACATTGATTTTTCTAAATATTGATTTTATGCTTTTGTTTTTCTTACAAATTTATTCATATAATGCGTCATAGAAATGTTGTTTTTTTATATTTTTCAACTGAAATTCCAATAAGTCACATGTATATACTACTTTTGGTAGCCTATTAAGTGAATAAATATTCGATATGTTTTGAATTTTGTTGTTTTCGTGAACTAATTGAACTTCTTACATAGTTGTTTTACTAGGACAGTAATTTTGATTTTGTGTATTACAAAATAAGTAGTAGTTGAGTTTTGATTACTTGGCCAGACTATAATTTTTATGGGTGAACCAATGAAATTAAAGATAATAAGTCTTGGATTTTGACTGTAAATTCATTTATCTATTTAGTTAAATGTCATTTGGGCATTATAGTATATGTCAGTTCGTGATGAAAACTATTACTTTAATTCCTGTCTCTAAATTCTAACTAAATCCTAATCCTAATTTATAACCCTCTTTTGACCCTTGAAAATAAGCGAGTTGTCTCAAGGTCACGTTAACATCGCTCGAATGTCTTTCATAAATTGTCTCAACGATTACTCTATATATATTCATAGAGAGAGAGAATATCGGTTAACAACTGTAAGGTTTATACCTAAAATATACTAAATATTCTTTTTAGAACAACACAAGTAAGCGAACAATTGTTTTCAATTAGATCGTCATCAGGCTTTACTCTAACATACATGAATATTTATACGAAAATTTTAAACCAAACAAGGCAATATGGGTTAATAATCACAATGAAATAGAATAAGTCTCTACACATAATAGGTAAAAGTACAAGTTTATAGTAGGAAGACAGGTGAACTGATAGTAGTAAGAATAATAAAATACAATAACAAAACTCTTATCAATAGTTAAACGTTGGGAATAGAAGGTCAAACATGGGTAAATAGACTAGGAATAGTAATCACAAAACATTAAAATCATTACGTAATAAGATGTGTGTAAATAATTAGATAGTGAAGAATACGAAAAGGCGGAAAATTACAAACAAATAATGGATGTGGAAATAAGCTTAACGATAACACAAATAGAATAAAATAAATAATGATAATAACAAAATTTAAAAAAAATTGTTAGTAAAGTTATAACCGGCCATGGAAGGGATAGGGGGGTCACGTATTTCTTCTGTACACATAAATTGGGGTTATACGTACGAATTCCAATAGCTTCAGCTATATGTAGAAGACGATTAAATTATCAGTTGATGGATAAAAACACATAAAATTGGTACAAAGGGGAATCGAAATGCATATGCACCTCATGAAGTAGTTATCATTCAATTTATGCGGGGTGGGATATTGTGTAGTTGTTGAAACTGAAACAAAAGATTTTCTTAGGGAGGACACTCCCCGAGCCTTTGACCTAGAGGCCTAATCCATAAGACAGCGAAACGCTGGAAGATTCAATTCCATGGTATCTGGTGACCAACAATAGGTTCATATATTGCCTTTTCCCTCAACACCCTGCCCCCTATGTAGACCCGCTGGTTTAGAGTCAGGGACTTCCAAATCCTCTTTGTAGATCCTCCCTACCCACTAAGCCGGTTTAACTGTCCGGCATTCGTTATCCGTCCCGAATGTCGTAAGCAACAACACCACGAGGAGAGTGAGTAAGACTACTTTGGCAAAGGCTATATATGCGTGATCAGATGAAAGCATTTCAAGAGGGAAAGCAGGCTTCACCCACCCTCGGCCTTACCAAAGCATTTGTGGGCCATTTCATATATTTCGCATCAATAGTATTATTGATGTATTTTGCGATTCGGTTCGATTGATCCCAAGGTGATTGGAATAATTCTAACACTAACGGATTCTATTGTAAAGTTGAAAAGGCGGCAACTGAAACACACATAAATCTCCAATAATAATCTACAACGATGTGAACTCTAAAGGTAAGTTGAAGTGTGGAGAAAAATTTAATATTTTCCATGACTAATCAATGTGGAATAACTGCATATAGAGTCTGGTGTGACTAGCAAACTAAAAGTTGTAACAACCAATCAGAAGATAGTGGTCATGCAGAAATATCAATTAAGAGAATTACACTCGTGGTTATCGTTGCAAGAAGGAACTAACACTTAATGACAAAACTAAAACATTTGAGGGCCTTCTTACGATTTATTCACATAGTTTCACACAATATTTAGAACTTGTCTTTCCTAATTTTTCTATTTAGTTTGACGGAGCTGTAAAACGATTTGCCTCCCCATTTGGTGGATTAAGTCCTCCTGATATCCCATTACAAAGTCGTGACTTGCATTCTCCATCATCGTTACATAGACAACCTGTTGTCGGCTGTCAGCAAGAACAAGTTGAAGTTCACATCCATCGACAACCTAATGCTGGTTTAGGTCTTAGCGTGGCTGGTGGAGTTGGGTCAATACCATTTCGTGGTTTAGATCATGGTATATTTGTTAGTCGATTAAATCCTACTGGATTAGCTGCCACTTCGGGACTTAAACTTGGCGATAAACTATTAGAGGTTAGTGTACTGTTCTGTTTTTCCTTGTTTTTATTTCTTATCAGTAAAACTTTCTGCGTACATACAACAACCTCGGTTATTTCTGTTCTATTGAGTTTTTATTTTACCTTTTTTAGGTTAATGGTGTTAGTCTTATCAATGTCGAACATAATGTAGCTGTGTCTGCTTTACGTGCCAATACAAATTACTTCCGTATTCTAGTTGGTCGTGATATTCAAATGTCTACGAAAGCAGACAATTATAAAATTATTCCCTCTATGGTATCAGGAACAAAATTAAACCTGTCGACTCAATCACCACAGGTAGGTTGGTTTTTTCCCTTAAATAAAATTTGTTCATTGTTATTGTTTATTGATTTACCATAAAAAACCTCCTACTTAATCCTTACTTTCTTTCTTTGATTTAATCTGTTAGACCAGAATTTGTTGGGCTTTTTTCAATCCATTGGTCATACCGAAATGTTCATTGCTTTATAAGTGAAAATAAAACACAAGTGTAAACAAAATAGGTTTCAGTCGAAATAAAAGAGAGTGCATGTTGATTCTCGATGAACATTAAATAATTACTCATCCGAAACTTATTTATATAGTGTCTGTGTGATAATTGTCATCAATGGTTAAAGACCATTCCTTATGTTCGAAACATATTCTTTATAGGTAGACATACTATCATAGGTATCTCCATTAGTCCAACTTTATGTAGCTATTCATCTTTATTATCTTCTCTCTGGGCTGAAATAGTGTGACCTAATGCATATTTGTACCAACTTCTACATGTATTATGCTGACTACCTGATCAATATTACAAACATTATATACTTTTCTATCTTGTAGTAGTTGCTAAGTATATGAAACACTAACTCAGTCATTAGATTGAGTGTACAGAAAATTGATAGATTGTATCATGAAATATTTATTGCTTATTCACTGTAAACATCTCTTACTTCGTAAGTTAGTATTCAACTTCTCGGTACTATTTACTGCAACATGAGAGCATTCAGTCAACCACTCAAGATTCCATAGCCTAATCCATATATGTATTTTGTTTAGAAGTAACGAATTTGAATGTAAGTAGTGTAATAACTGTTTGTTCAACCAGCGAACAGCAGTCAAAAGCTTTAAGCAGTAATCTAGTTTCATATTTAAAGCAATTAGTCACATAGTTTCATATTACCTATTACCTTTAACAGTAATATAGATCGCAGAATTTAACGACCTACTGCATATTTTTTTAATGGACATTACTAGGTTTAAATAGAATTAAGTTTTCTGCTAATACCACTGGATAATTTTGACATAGATTTTGGCAAAACAAATACTAGATAAACTTGTCCTAATCAATGAGGAAAGATAGTTTGAAAAAGATAAATTATGACATCAGTAAAACATATCAATTAAGTGTAGCTTTTTCTCATTTAAATAATGGTGATTATTAAACTGACTATCATCAGTATTACAACTTTTTGTGATTAGACGTTTTACAGGTTTCGTTTTACATGTTTCTTTGTTTTGTTTTTTATTTCGTCCAATCTTATCATTGGTGATGCTTTGTCGTTTTTGGTATTTACTGTAAATTTATTTTATTAGAGCATAAATTTTTATTATGAAACCAAGTATGTCTTTTATCCTTCATTTTAATTAAATGTGTTCCTGGTATTAGGACTTCGTTCATGTGATTTTCATGAATGGATCTCGTAACTGTACTTCTACTTAGTGGTAAACACTGCATGAATGATATTATTTTTATTGTTGAATACTCTGATAAAATTCAGTTTCCTCTAAATGCCTTAAATAACAATCCTAGAATCTTTGAAATCGATTTGTTTTTATCTAATTATAAAACATTGCTTTAGAGTAACGTCAATGTCTGGTTAGATCATAGGAAGTGAACTAGTCGAGCTGGCCGGTATATTAACTTGTAACTGCTGCCAATGCTAGAAAATCGATGATTGGCGAAATTCCGGCACATGTTTGGTTTTTGTTAACTTATGGCTTAGATATTATGTCCATCTGTCAACTAAACGATGTGCCGTAGTATATTTTGTATTAATTTTTCGATATAACATAACGTTTGAAAGTAAGAGATATGCATAGGTTACCAGTTCTTGATCATGAATGTATTGGATACAAAAAAATTATTGTACATAAATTTGGTATTACCCAGTTTATTAAGTTGATGCTGTATTAACTTAACTGGATATGATCTAACTGATAATTAGATCATAATTTTATTCCTTTGCATTAACTTCCTTCAGATATTTTGTATCACTGAGTCATACTAATATTTTACTGTACAACATAACTAAAATATCTTAATCCAGTGATTTAACATGTTCTAAATTTTATCGTCTCGGTTTAGGACTACAGGTACTAATTGATTTACTAATCAATGCTCTTCAAATAAGTTAGTGTTTTAACATGTAGCTAAGTCTTTGGACGTTTTTTCTAATTAATCAGATGTTATATATATTTTTGTCTAGGTAATCTTATTTATAGAAATTACAGATGAAACTGTTTGATAATATGTTTGTCTCTATCTGAAAATATTATTTAGAGCATATTTTATACTGATAAAATACAACAATTAAAAATAAAGGATCTATCAATATGTGTTGTTTTAGTAGTAAACCTTTGAACCAAATAGAAGTCCAGCATGAAATTCAAACTGTTGATTTGTACAATGTTAGTTAATTCACAATGATAGGTCAAGATATGCATGATCAAGTGTTGAAAACATTTAGTGGCATAGCCCAGATACATTCACTTCTTGTTTTACTGTAAATCTTGGTTTCTAGTGTTTCTTCATACCCCACACCTTTTGATTCTATCTTTCGGTACCATATTCTCAATGTTGCCTTGTCATTGCTATTGTTGTGAAATCTATTCGATTTCGTTAGCTGTTCATCTTGTTAGTTTCATCTTAATGTGTTAATATGATATGGTAACTTGAACCAGCGCACATTTGTACCAGGTTCTACATTGATTATGACTGATTGATTGAATGCGAGAATCACTGCAATAATGTGTTATTGTATAAAAGAAAATTGGGAATAGATATCCAAGTTTTGTTTGTTTAACTTTATTAATCTTATTGTATATTCCAATATTTTAAACTATATTTTAGTTAGTTGTACACTAGAAACATGATAATTAAATAATAATTATTATTATTATAAGTTCTATTTATCTGTTATAGTTTGTTCAACCGTGTAATATTTTTCTCTGGAGTAAGGAACTGTTTAAAACACAAATCTAAGCATAGTTACCAAGTTTAGTTTATAATGCGTGATGACAGGGAAATCATCAATCATTCATTTCCTGGGTACTTGTAAATTTGACAATGAAAATAGTGAAACAATATTTGTATAAAAATACCAATTAATTGTATAGTCAAAATTAATAATTTGCTATCTAATTTACTTCCATACCTTTACAAGAGTACAACTAATTAAGGAAAAGGATCAGTAATAATCTGCATGTTTTCATTTATTTCATAACAATATATATTTTCATGTATATATTTTGCAAGTGGTTGTTAATTAGTATTCTTTGATTCTTTTTTGAAACAACTGTATATTTCCAACATATTACAGAATTAAGACACGACTTATTAATAATTTTCTCATATATTAACTAGCTTCGTTGGTCACTTTCCTATTTCTTAACCAATTGTACATTCGTGATCAACAAATAATTGCTGATAATTTTTTCTTGAAAGTTTCGTTATTTCTAATGTGTAATTACATTAAACTTCCTATCGTGTTGTCAATTTTTATTTACTCGATTGTTATTAGATATTTGATTGTGTACAATATTAATGTGGATTGATTAATACTTTAAAGATCATTTTATCCTGTTGACGTGGTTGGAGTTACAATACAGTACTCAGTTGATGCAGCTTATTTGTTGATAAAAACCAAAATCACAATCAATACGGGTATTATAAATCGCTTTATTCAACAGATTATATGTTGTACTGAATATATTGTGATTGTTTACGATAAATTATTTTTGTTAAACACTTCTACCGTTTTGCGTGTATCTCACATTCCTATTTCGTGTTGGACTGACTTATATTTTGACGCAAATTTTGCATTGCAAGGTTCTGAATATCTCCTGGATGATTCGAATTTTCCTCACCCTATTTTCCTCTATATTTAGATTCATCTGAACGAACTTTTATTCTATCATAAAGCAGTTGGTGATTTATATAAACATGACGGTAAATAAACCTCCAAAACACTGAAATTGCTATCGTTAATCGTTAAGTCTTTACGTTTGTACAGAATTGAATTATTTAGAAAACTGAGTTTCTTTGTTATATTTCTCCCTTATCCATCCTTTCATATATCCTCTTTTTTGTTTATGTGTAGCAAAACAATTTCACTGTTTAGCTTGCTTATTAGCTTCCAATGCATCATGTTCTGATAATATATACAGTTGTTGATCACATTTTAGATTTCCTATAAGTGTATCTTGATTGTTAAAATAACGTATGGAGCGGTGACTGACTGGTTATCCAATGTACTACAATATATCCTGATACTAACTGCTCACACCCTCTGGATCCACTGACTTCTTTCATTGATCAATAACACACAAATCAACAACAAACGTGATCACTTTCCTCTATTCTTTACTTCTCAAATCATGAAAATATCAAAATACGACATTTATTCTGTCACTGAGAGTGTTATCTAGCAAAAATATGATCCAATGTGCATTTTCAAGTAGCGTTAAATTGTAGCGGAAAGTGATTGCATGGTTTATACTGATTAGTTCAACAGCAGAATAAACTGTACGCTAAGATTATTCTTATCACTTTTTAAGATAAGTCGAAATCTGGATTAAAAAAACGCTTACCTTTATTCAACTAACAACCTAAAAAGTCGGTTTCCAATTCAGCTACTTATCACTTATACCTCTGAATTGAATTACAAGACGACTGAGCAAATATTTATTCGACCCCAATCTTAACATTTTTGTTGGCAAATTAAACAAAATATATTGATTAGTGTCAAACAATATAGACTTGTTTACGTATTTTATGTCCGATGAGCACTTAAATATTCCTCAGATTTAAGACTTCATATATCCACTAGATCCATAGCCTTTGTCACATTTAAGGGAATATATTATTCTACTATTTTAATAAGGTTTTCTGTATTAGATTTTCACCTTCTTTATAAATGTAAGTCTCTTAATAAATACTTATTGATCTAAATGTATGTTTATTCATATCATTTCTTTCATTGATTTAATTAGGTTACGGGAACTATTAACACCAAAGAAATACCTGAAGTAAGTGGTTTTTCCCTTTCTTATTACAGTTTTAATTGTCATACTGTCACCTCACACTAATAACCTTTTTATGAAATAAAATAATGGTATAACTTTAAATCTAAAACCAAACATAATTTTAAGTTAACGTTCACAAAAGAAATGGATAGATAGATAGTTTGATCAATTTTTAATACACAACTATCAAATGGATTGTCGTATTTTAACATTGTGTATTCTAAGTTTCTTTTCAAATATATAAATCTAGGAAAACTTTGTTACATGTAACAATTTGTTAACTGTAAACTTTTTCTTAACAAACCCAAAGTACAGTACCAATTATAGACTAATCTAATAACTGTTATCAGTCTCATATTACAGATTGTACGTCCTGTATTGAAAATTTAACCTTCATCAATTACATCAACTGTTAATTGTATATTACATAATCGTAAATAATGCAATTATGAAAATCTATAGAGAATATGCTACATTACATCAACTTATTTTGTGTTTTAATTTCTTTTATGGTACAGTTTATTCACTGTACATTACACCGAGATTTAAATGGTCTAGGATTTAGTATTGCCGGTGGTCAAGGCTCACTTCCTCCACCATTAGATAATGAAGTGAGTTTTGCTGATAAGTATTTTAAATTTTGATATTCATTAAATTGTTAATGTATTATTGGGTTGTTTTTTTAAATATAATATTTCAAACATTATGAACAATAAAGAAAATTTTTATTTACTCTGGGCTTCCGTTTTCATTTACAATTTATATTGTTTCTAACATTGAATGGTGTGTTGTCCTGTGATATATATATATATATATATATATATATATATATATATATATATATATATATATATATATATATCCATTCATTCCATCCTCTTTTAAGTGACTTAGTCAATCAACAATTCACATTGTTTTATTTTTATTCTGTGTTTTGATATTTGACTTTTTAAAAATAATGAATAAACTAACATTTTTAATACACTTCAATATAATTGTGTATGTAAAACCAATAGATAATAATTCATGCTTTTAATTACAAGGATTTTAAAAGAATAAAAAAATGTTTCATTGTGATCATTAGAACAACATAACACATATTAAACGAAGTTCAGCGGAGGGATCTCTTTTCAACGAAATTATTACCAAGCTGTACAGTCGTATATATCTATATCAAAAAAACATGATGCAGTCGTAAGAATATTATTATACTCCATTAAATAAAAGTAGTAACAATACATATATATATATATATATATATATATATATATATATATATATATACGACTATACAGCGTGATAATAAATTCGTTGAAAGGAGATCCCTCGCCCAACTTCATCTTTTTAATGTTTAAATAGCATTTATATATCAACATCACACATAAACAAACGATACTATATCAAGCTTTACTGTAAGTTAGTAATGTATATATTCAGACATTCTATGAGTCAATGTTAATAATCATGTAAAAAGAGTACATGATTAATCCTAATAAATATAAACTACATATAAGGCAATTAATCCTTTTTATAAATTTCGATAAAACAATGAGAAAACGGAGTTGATCTGAAAAATGTGATGTATTTGCGCTATACAGATAGTTCGAAATGTATAGCGTAAATACATAAACTACATACTGGATTTTAGGTTAGCATGTTTGCATCAAACTTTGAGAATATAAATCTATGGAATTCAGTAGTGTATAAAAATTATCCAACAAGAATTGTACAAATAATACATCTAATCAATTGGAAATCGTAATATATATGTATTAATAAATTAGAGTATAAAGCTTGATGAAGGTCTAATTAACAACAGTATTGTTCACATTTACGTGTTTTTGTTTAAATACCAAGGACAATCAATAATTCAAGCATTTAACATCATTATGTATTAGTCATAGTTATTCTTAAAATACATATAAATATTTCATCAGTAGTAGTTCTGTATATTCTAAATGTAAATTCAAATACTACTACTTCGACCATCATTGTTTTTTTTTATTATTATATTCTAATTATTAAGTCTATATGAATTCAGAATATGATTTCTATTTCACTTTGGCTCAACTTCTACTACTGCCTTTATTATTAATAATAATAATAATTGATCGTCCATTTGTTAAAGGATACTTAATCATTTTTACGAAATTGTCTTCTTTTTCTTTGACATGAAACTACATTATTTTTCTTATAGAATTGCAAATATCTTGAGGTAGGTTTATAGTTTATATCGTTGACATCAATCATACTGCCTTGTGGGCTTTATTTTCCCCTCTCGTCCTAATTTTTTCCAATGTTAATTTTATTTAATCTTTAATTTCGATTTTTTCTCAAATAGTCGTATATTAATTATTATTATTATTATTATTATTATTATTATTATTATTATTATTATTATTATTATTATACTATAAATATTAATGAGTCGGATAAAGTCCATTTTTATCATTGTTGTGATTGTAATTTGTTCAAAAAATTTGACACAAACCTTTATGTATTCGCTCTCACGCTTGTTTAATCTTAACTTTTGTTCTTTGTAAATGTAAAATAGTCTTGTTTGTTTGCAGGAAATTATATCATTTTATGTTTGTTCTCGTCGAATCTTGTTATGTATTGAATATTTCTGCAAAATGTTTAACTTCTTAAACAGAATGATAAAAAAGGGATTAGAAAAGACTATATTTCATACTTTCTCTTATGTATTCGTCTCTCTTCATTGTTGTATATAACAGTTATTCAGGTATCAATTATTTCTTATCACTTGAAGAAACGCTGAAATTTTACTTCAGCTAAATTTATTTTTAGAGAAATTTGAGTTTACTACTATTCCCCTTTTGAAGTTATAATCCATTTGTTCTTAGTCTAAATAATGAGACGAGCATCTTTTCGTATTTTATATTAGATTGTATAACCAATTAGGGAAAAAAGAATTTTCTCCACTGAATTATCTTTATTTCTTCTTCAATCAGGGATTATTGTCTCAATTCAAATAAATCAGAATAGAATACAAACTAAACATTTTTGAATAATGTATGTGTGCTCTATAATTCAATAGATATATGAATCGATCATGTTCACTTAGCGATTTTACTGTAATTCTTGTCTTATCTGATAAACCTGTCGACCAGTTATACAAAGCTTTCATACTGGGGTACTTTTATTTAAAACAAATCCCTCCATTTGTACTGCTTTGCATTGTAGATGCTGGTACTATGTCAAGCCCACATAGGTTATTTTAGCCCCTGGACAGGCCAATTTATTAATGCTTCTCGAGTCATATTTTGACCTTGTTAATCATTCGTTTATCAACCTGGATTGTATTTGCGTAAACGTGTGTGTGTTCATGTCTTATCCTGCTCATCACGTATCTAACTTACTTTTGTCTGACTATAAATATTGAGTTGGCTCACATGCCCTCTCCGATCGTCCGCCTAGATCAACAACTGTAGGAAGTGTACGTATTTGATTTATTTAATCCCGTTATTCACTAATGTGGTTTAAATCGATAGTTTTATACGAGGACTGGTGATCAAACTGGAGTCAGATATTCCAGGGCCCCTAAAATACCATATATTGTCCATTGATTACTTTCAAATGAAGTTCTTGTTTGATACCTTACTTTAACTATTCTATGTTGTAATCGGTTTTTTCGTGTCATTTTTATTCACTAAGTGTTTGTTATGTATTATGTGTTCATGTTATTGATGAAGTGTTATACTTATTGCTTGTAATTATTTAATTACGATGAATTATATATGTATTTCTCTGTTGCAAAGAATGAAATTGAAATGACCCTTCTGTCGTAAAAATGTCTTTTTCCTCTTTTTTTAAAATTTAATTTCATCAAAAATATGTTTAATTGTCGAAATAATTTCATTCTTTATTTTATTTCAATTTAAATATAGTTGATCCTTCATTAAAATTGAATGTAATTACGCTGTGTTTTATTTGATCTAATTTCAATTTTAAGTAAATTAACTAGTTATTAAACGATATATAGCAAGATTCTTCTTTCAATCTTTGAAATGTTATGGTAATAGTCGATTGAGAACCTAAATGTTTGTCTTATTCATATTGAAGTTTCGTTTATTTGACACCATTCTATCAAAACTAGAACTATTAAAATCAACTACTAACTGAACCTTGATACTAAACGTTCAGCTAATAATTAGTCCCTTTGATAAATTTCGATAATGCAATGAGAAGACGAAGTTTATCAGAATTATGTGGTATATTTGCGCAATACATTTGATCAAATAAGATCATGCGATAGACAGACATCATCCTCTATTGCGAAACATTTGAGACTGGTCATAAGGTTGATATCGAGCCAGCATTTGTAGTGTTGTACAAAAGCTTTCAAGGACGTATACTGAGGTTTATTGAAGCCTTGGCTATACGGATATTGAAACCCTCTTCATGTGTTTAGAAACAATTTGTCCTACCCCGGTAATACTGATTTATTATCTAGAGTGATTATCACATCTTTTTCTTCGTTACGGCTTACCTTTAACCTGTCTAGTTGACCTTTTAATTTTCATATAGAAATGTCTTAACAAGTTTATATGTGTGATCAGATTGTTCGAAATGTGTTGCTCACATATATATTACATAATTCTGATAAACTTCGTCTTTTCATTGCATTATCGAAAGTTTAACTAATAATCAAACAATTATTTATTCTAGTTTTGTCTAAAAATGGATTAGTTTTTATACAAAAGAGATATAATTAAGTAACTAATTGATTGAATTCGGGGGGAAAAAACATTTCCTCTTATCAATATACAATCAAGACACAAAAATGTATTACAATAGTGAAACATAAAAAATAATTGACAATGCCTTGTCATATCTACTATTGACTAAGTTTTTTTCCCATTGAATCAAGGTTAATAATTGTATTGTTATTATAATCATAGTTTCTTTTCATTATCAAATTTATTATGACAGTAATACTAAATTGTTAATATTTCTGGCGAATCGATTAGACATAAGTAAATATAATTTCAAAATTTTATGTCCAGTGTTTATTTGAATACTGATCCTAGTTATTGTACATAACGCCATTATAATCTTTGATCAAGTGATGAAATGAAGTTTATCCAACTTTTTTTTTTAATAAAGAAGTCTATTCATGGAAATCGTTCCCAGTCGTTAAGGTATCTTTTATTAAATTTTAATTCTATCACTTATTAAGTCTATCCTTAGTGCAGCCTATTTGATCTATTGTTGTCTTGGTGTTAAATTTGTAGAAATTGATCACTATCTCACTAAAATTACAGCATAAAATTTATATAGCTCAAGAGACTACGTGCATGATACTCTATTAAGCCTTAATCTGTATCGATTGTTTGAATATAAGCATCACTGAAACGTTTCTATTAGATAGAGTGTGTACTCATTCATATTTCAAAAAATGGTAATTAGTTAAATGAATGACTTTAACTGTTACACGATTTACTATGTTTGATATTTGTACTCATTAGTATTTAATAAATCTATGTAGGTTTAAATCTTCTGTTGGCAATATATATTACTTAAATCATTACTGCTTATTATAATTACTACACTTTGACATACGATCAGTGAAATCAACTGAGTAAATGAGATTTTGTAGATGAGAATTTCATAAAATCAATTTATAAATGGAATAAGTAAATTTACAAGCTAATTGTATTTGGTAATAACTTTCGGATATGCATTACATTAACTGAATAATTCCTTTACTAGATTTATTTAAATGCGAGAAAGTGTTTTTTCTTTAGTCGACTCCTTAACATATCATAATTATAAAGGAACTAGTTTAGATCCTTGTTATCACTTTGAGTATGCACACTAATAAAAAACCAATTACACCCTGTTAGTGAATTTCAAATAAAATTAAATGATCGCTGCTAACTTATCAGTTAATACAGTAAAATAATCAGGAAAATTACCATCTAGTTTACATAATAACACCTCTATAAGCAATATACACAAATTATCAATCATTGTTAAAATGGGGCGGTAGACTGGTTCATGATTTCTCACGAGCATGTATATTCGCATCAATTACTGAAATTAAATACATAAATAAAACGCTATTTTAAACTTAGTAAAAGTTGGAAATGTTATTAGTGTATTAATGGGAGCAATGTGGATGTAGTTGGATATGTAGACTACACATCGTGTATTAGTTGAGTGTAATTCTATTGGATTGTTAAAACAGCAGTAAAGGTTGTTAGTATACATAAATAAGCACTTTAAAGTACTCTATAATCATGGACAGCTTTTTTCGATGAAAATGAGTATTCTACAGCTCACCGCTTCAGATATTAAATTCAATGACAGACTGAATAATCTTGAATGTAATAAGATAGTTCCACTGGTATTCAACTAGCTTTCTGTTTTAAATATATTATTATCTGTAACAATTTACTCAATGCTATGATAAAATCAGTAAGCTCTCATAAGATAGTCTCAGAATTATAACTCTTTGTCTAATAATTGAGGTTTTGACTTTTCACTTGCATTAAATTCTTTCATTTTTTAATAGTAAAATGTTCAAACTTCTATCAGATTTGCCATAATTCACTGTCTAAACTTCCACAGCAAGGTCGACACGTAGGTACATTTCTAGCGCCATCACTTTTCGAATTGATGAAGGTATATACTATTTCAATGGCAAAAGATTATTCAAGTGTCTTGATGTTAAATGGTTTGAATCCGATTGAGAAAATTGTACTTATATATGCCTTTTCATTTTAGGCTATATATGTTAGTAAAATAACAGAAGGTGGAGCCGCTCATAAACAAGGCCAACTTCGAATTGGTGATCAAATTATTAGCGTAAGTTTTATATTCCCGCTCTAAATCTGTTGTAGATTTCTCTACTTATTGTACCTCAATTTCTTTAACGATTTCCTTTGTGGTGTTTATCAATCTCTTCTGATAAGCATGATACTTAGGTTCGGGCAAAACTTTCGCTTTTATGGTTATACTACTTACTATTTCTAAGTATTTAGATGTATCTTGATATTGACTACATCTTGTTTCAATACGATACAACGAAGAAACTAGCAGGGAAATATAGTAAACCAGAGAGACCGGTCAAAGACAAAGAAGGCAGGCCAATCACTGAAATTCAACAACAGAAGAACAGATGGGTAAAGTACTTCGAGGAACTCCTGAATTGGCCGGCTCCAATGAATCCACCAGACATCGAAGCAGCACACACAGATCTTCCTCCCTTAGGTGTCAATCCACCAACGACGGAACAAATCAGAATGGCCATCAGACAAATGAAGAGCGGGAAAGCAGCAGCACCCAACAATATACTAGCTGAAGCACTGCTGTCAGACATCGAAGTAACTACAAACATGCCTTACCTTCTATTCAAAAAGATTTGGGATAAGGAACAAGTGCCGATGGACTAGAAAGAAGGACACCTCATCAAGATTCCAAAGAAAGGAGATCTAAGCAAATGTGAAAACTACAGAGGCATTACACTACTGTCAGTACCAGGGAAAGTCTCTAATAGAATGTTGCTAAACCGGATGAGACGCAGTAGACGTCCAACTTTGAGATCAACAAGCTGGATTCCGGAGGGATCGGTTGTGCACAGACCAAATAGCGACACTACGGATCATCGTCGAACAATCAATTGAGTGGAACTCGTCACTGTACATCAACTTCATTGGTTATGAAAAAGCATTTGACAGTGTAGATAGGGGAACCTTATGGAAACTTCTTCAACACGGAGTTCTTGAGAAGATTGTCAACGACTGACTATAGTGCAAATTAGTGCATGGAGGACAGCTGACAGACGCATTCCAAGTAAGGACCGGAGTCCTGGAAAGGATTGTCCAGGACAGGGTTGGATGGAGGGTGCTGGTGACCGGCCTCTGCTCCTTCACGAGTAACAGGTGTAAGTAAGTGTTCCAATAGGTTCGACAAAAATATTTATTATCGATCGTCTTTTTCGTGGGTTTACACCATCGTATAGGGAGTTTTCATCTCTAATTTTTTGTTGTGGTTGCTGATTTTATCTTTTCGTACTTTATGAGGCGAAATTTCCGGAAATAATTTCTGCTAGTTGTTTTACTTTGTAAAGATGGAATGATGAATCACTGTTTCCTCTTAGCTAACCTTCTATCAATCAAGCTGAACATTTATTTGAATAGTTCTTGATTATGGGGTCTTTCAAACTGCAGCACTGTACTACAGGTTCGATCGTGTTATAGATTAACAAAGTTCTTTTTAATTAAGCAAAAAGCTTATTTCCATAACATTCATTTGGACCACCTGTTACATGTTATTTATTACATCAAAAAGAAACTTAGTTCACTCTCCTAGACTTACCTCAGCAGAAAACTGTTGCGAAAAACCTTTCGAGTGCAAATTATCGGAATAGCGTTTCTTTCTTTTTCTATTTTTTAGCTAAACGGTGTCGATATTAGAAACGCTCGTCACGATGAAGCTATTTCGCTGTTAACAAGTTCTAACGATTCGGTAGACTTGGAATTACTTCGTTATAATCCTGACACGACCGATAATCTCGATAGTCTTCCGAAAACATGTAAGCATATCTTGAATATTCCTACATTTTTTTGATCTTTAAAATATCTAGACATCATCATACTGGGAGACTGCATCAAAGTCATAGACAGTGATGTATTTGATGGATTGTTGTTGGGGTAGCTTTGGTATTTCAGAGTCTTGTGAGGAGTAATGTTCAGTGTTTCAAATCCACTACGTTTCCAGTCAAAAAGTAAGATAAAAAACGGTCAGAGTCAGTTTGTTTCTTACTTTTATCTTCCCAGACCAGCAAGACTGACCGAAAACATTTGTAATTAAAATATATGCCATTATTTTAAAGAAGATTCAATCAAACTTTTTTCTGATACCCAGAAATGGACCTAATATAGTAAATTTGTAATATTATACATTTGCGCTGACAATCCTCAATTCCAACATCAAATTAGGTATCGTATTTATTATTATTACTCTAGATAAATATCGCTTACCATATAGGCACAAGCCTTACAGGTATTTCAGTGAAGATGTAAATGTATGTATTATGCATATTGAAATTTGTAGTAGATTTTGATTCTTGTGCATAAATTTATCTCCAGTTAGTTATTATGACTTAAAATTTCCCGCGGAAATATTTGTTATTAAAATATATTCGTTAAATCTATCCTTTAGTGATGGTTTCGAGATCAAATAAATTCGTTATTTTTTTAAATAAGGGATAGGTAGGGTTCAGAGTTTATCATCTTTTCCGTTTTCGATATTCTACATTTCTGATGACTTATGAAAGTTTCTTTTTTCCTTTTTAACAGCAGCTAACGGTTTTATAACGTCATCACCAATTCTGACAGTTAAAAGATCGAATAATCAACAAAATACTACGAAGGCTACAGATTTGACAAATACAGACAGTCATTTTTCTGAGAAATGTGATTCTCGGGTTTACTTATATAGTGAAAAGGGTATTCCTGTGGAAAGAATTACTGTTCGAAATGATGGTGGACCTTTGGGTTTAGCTATCTGCGGAGGATCCGATATTAGTTGCCTTCCGTTTGGTAACAAAGAACCAGGTATTTTTATATCCAAGGTAATAGTCGATTGTTCGCAGACGAATCTCATTTCACTATGTTCCATGTTACACGCAGATTTATTATTGTAAATAAATCGTGTAATACAAAAAAGAACACTTCGTAAGGGACTCATCCTGTTATACTGAGAAAACTGAATGCAGCTATGGAGATATTGTGCTTAGTCTGATAAACTGGACGATGATAACTACTTTTTGTAAATATTTGCTAAATGTCATATGCTTTTGATCTCCGACCAAGTTCAGAAAAGACAAACTGATTAGAAGTTTTTATTGTTCAGAATCGTAATAGTACTCACAAATTTCCTTGAGGTGGCTGAACTGACCTCGGGTAACTGATAAACTTCGTTAACAAAAAAAATCCATTTACAATAGCTCGTTCATATTTGCATCTAAATTATCATGCGACCCCATATAATCTGGCTTCTTTTACTCAAAATGTATTAGAGAAATAAGCCTTATGAAATGAAATGACAGTTTTTCTTCGTTTTCACCAATCATTGCGTCAGACCAATATCGTGCAGTACATCTGTACAGGTAACATACTCCCTTCTTCATTAGACGTATACGATCTGCTTGGGCAGTTGTTACTTCTTATTTTATCCAAACTTCCGTAAATAATGAAATTTCGAGAAAATCATGGACGAACCATCAATCAAATACTATTTGTATTAATTCGAGCTTTGGTGGTTGTAGAATTAAAGGTTCTTTTGACTGCAGAAAAACTGACTAGCCAGGAATGTTTGTGTATCATATTTAAGGGATTCATTTACTTCTTAATTCCATAATCTTTACATTGATCATTATAGATCTCCCTAGATGGTGCAGCTCTTAATACTGGCTTACGTATCGGAGATAGAGTTCTTAAAGTTAATGGAGTCGACTTGAGGCACGCTACACATGATGAAGCAGTACAAGCTTTAATCCAGCCTGTTAAAGAACTGCAATTAGATGTACGGAGAGATCCTCCGCCGCCAGGGTTAAGGGTAAGTTAAGCACCAATTCTTCATATATGAAATCTGCCTCCAAATATTACCTTATCATTATGATGCGATATTTCCTTATTAATTCAGCGTATCACTGTGACGAAACGACCTGGAGAACGATATGGACTACGTGTAACAGGTGGACTTAACACTGGTGATAGTAACGTGGTAACTAATTTAACATCACATTACTCATCACTAGCCAGTGATGACGGAATATTTGTTACATGGGTTTCACCAGATGGTGTCATTGCTCGAGACGGCAGATTGAAGCCAGGTGACAGATTATTGGAGGTCAACGGACATTGGTTGATGGGAGTTACTCTTGATGAAGTTTTGAACGTAAGAATTTTTCTTATTCAACTTTATATTAAATAAGTAGATTCATACAGATCAGTTCTCCAAATAATAATAGCCGTCTTAAAATCATTGGTGAGGACCATAATCTGAAGAAGAACCGTCTGACCTGTTTGATCACATTAATTCATGACTTTGGATAATACCAAGCGTATCTACTAAGATGAGACGCTGTGATCAATTACATTTTCAAGTTAGTATCTGGTAACACTAACTTACCGCATACGCACTACTGCATGAGTAATAATATTTTGGTTAAAGCAGATAATCTATAGAATATGTCACTACTTTCAATTTAATTGCATAATGTTTACATTTTACGCAATAAGCTGTTGGTCGATGAAAACCTCAAACCAGTTAATCAAGCGACCAGAACTCCTATTTTATGATACAAAACTAGTTTTTGTCATAAGTTAGTCAGAACCAGTTTATTTACATCTTGCCCGATTTGCAGATGAATTTCGTACTCACAGAAATTATATATGCTAAACATACTATTATTGTTATCTGTGACAAACCCTGTATGTCAAAGTCCATGTCCTTAAATCCTGAAACCCCCGTAGTCTATGTGAAATATTATCGTCCTGAGATTCACCTGAATATCTAGTGATTAGCGGTCATATACTTAAAACATCAGCAACAAACGAGGCAGTCCGCACAACGCAAAAACAAATTATGCCGAATGAATCACCGATTTTTGTAGTAATTATCATTGCCCCGTTTCAGTAAGCCCGGAATTATCATCGTGTATATCTTTATAATGAATGTTAATCTGTGCTGTGCATATTATTCTTGACAGATATTTTGGGAATCCAAATCGACTCTGTCATGTGTGGTATGCGATGGTCCAGTCGAATTCGCTCTCCAGATTAATAAAAAAAGCCATTCAATGAATACTGAACCGTCTACATATTCTCCTGCTATGCCATTTTCTATTATACGCTCCACAATGCCAGAAATCGCTGATGCATCTGTCGACGATAATCCTACCTCTAACTCACAATTAGAGAAAGTAAACAGCATCCACAGATTGAACTCAGTAAGCAAATTTTTCAGTATCTTTGTTTGGAATCAGTTTCGAGTAGAGTTTAGAGGCTGCTCAATTTAAGGTAGTTGTCGTCACAATCTGTTTAGATGGGAAACCATTAAAAAACTGTTATAATCTCTTTCTTACGGTTATGACCCCAGCTATTCCTATTGCTTAGTATTCTCGTACATCGATTCGCTCGACAAGTCCCCAAATCAGAACACGATTGAACAAGAAAGAGATTATATTCCAAATAACAAGGTTTGATGGAAGCAAAAAGCCAGTAAGAAGCACAATAGGGAAAAACGTCAATATATTTAGTTTTTACATGAGATTCTAGAGTATTCTCCAACTATCGACTGGTGCTGATTGGATAAGAATTAGCCAATCAGCGTGCACCAAAGCAATCGTGCATTGAGCATGCTTTAATCCAGTCTATGTCCCGCTAACAAAAACAAAGTAGAACTGAGCAGCTATTCTATGGTAGCTTTGAAATCCACCTAGGGATCTGTCTCAAGACCTGCTATTTCTGCCGAATATACATAGAAAGCTTGTCTCCGTAAATAACTTTTGTATTTAAAAACAGTCTGATTAGTTAACCTGGAACCCTATTAACTCAACAGAAGTTAGGTTCGGTGGATTACCAAATAAGCATATATTTAATGAACTATGAATATCAACGTTGTTTCAATTTGTTATGTGAATACAGTGACGTCTTTTTATACTTCAGGAGGCTGCTGTGCGTCACTAGTATCAACTAAACTGAATGGTGGTTGGCGCGAAGGCACTCGTGGTGATATTTATATATACATTTTCTCTCCATTTCATTACCTTTAACTAGACTTTGAACCAATCTTTTAAATGACATAGTGATTTACTCACGCTTGTTATTTTGTTCCCTGTAAAGAATTGTACAGCGCCCTATTAATTTTTTTATAATTCCTTGCTTACAATTTTAGTGATGTAAGGACAATTGTGTATCTCCTTACAATCGATAGCACATACTCCCGTGCGCTTATGTACTTTTTTGTCTAAATTTCAATAAAAATGTTCCGTTTGTTTAAATACTCTTGACTTCAGTGTTTTTTTTTCATAATTTTATTGAATTAGGCAATTATCCAAAACAGAGCAGAAAACATCAGTTAAACTCTGATAAAGTTTAAGAAAGTGTACAACTGTACAATCACTTACAAAAAAATGTTGATCATTAATACACAATGGATTGAAGAGAGCTATAAGAAAATAGAATAAGGATTGATAGCCAGTTTCAAGGAAATAAACAAGATCATGGTGTTTAGGTAGAATGCAAAATGAAGGTCCAGTTATCGAGACTTGGGAATACTGTGATAGAACAGTCACCATGAAGTGGGACAAGTTGAACAGGGTCCGGAATAACCAACATTATCACACGAAGAAAGTATGTAACAGAAGTTCGAATTATCTACAATACATCATCTACGAAAGACAGATTAGGTAGATGTTTTCGCACTTCAATCGCGTCCATTAGCTCTTGCAATGATGTTTGTCTGAATAAGAGAAATACAAAGTATACGTTGCATCTCGACTAACGAATTAACACGCTTTTTGATTGAGATCATGAACCGAATGTTAGACCCCCATTGAAAACCTGGAAGATTGGACATTAACACCGTTGAATGCCGGCTCAGTGGACTAGAGGTTAAGTGTTCGCGTGCGAAACTGAAGGCTCTGGGTACGAATCCCGCGAGCGAGATCGTGGGTGCGCATCGCCGAGGAGTCCCGTAATGTGACGAAATGGCCGTCCAGTGCTTCCACATCTTCAATAGTGGTCTTACATCAATCGTCTCATGATCTCCACAACCGTATACTGATAATAAACAAACTGTTTTATACCAGCAAGATGACAGGTAAATCTTTACTTATGTTCATATGTAGCAAAAATAAATTTAAAACCTTATTTTGAATAGTTACAGTAGTGCACGGAACGAAAGTGATTAATGTACTTGAGTATCTAAACGTTTTCTATTCCTCAATAACGAGTGGCTGCGTCTTCTCTTATATACTTGTAGATTACTCTGGTTGATCACAGAAGAGCCAATTAACACTGCCATAAGCAGTAACCAATTCTCCACATTTTGCTACCTATTTATCTTACGACTGTCCTGAACTTTGAGACATTCGAAAAATTATTTATTTTATTACGAAAACCTATTTTTCTAAACGGTTAGCGTGAAATAGTCTTTTTAGGTTGTACAGATAATCACAGCAGATGGGAGTTTAAGAAAACTAGTGGTTACCCCTTTTGTGTAACTCTTTGATCGTTAGTATGGAAACATAAGGTTATAGTCCATGATGATTGATGTCCACACTAATAATAGTTTATAATTTTGACTTTTTCCCAAACAAACTTCTTTCGTTGAGCGGTAGTCTTAAAGATTCGGATGGCATGTGAACCCATGGGTCGATAATATCTAGGTAAAACGGTCGGCTGCTTTTTGCCCTAACAAGCAACATTGACCAGCTACGACGTACATAAAAACCTGTCATATACCGACTAGTTAATACCAATCGCTCAGTTTACTAGGTGCAGTTGAATCCTAATTGGTACTACAGCGAAAACCACGTTCATATACTAGGAACAAATAAATTTATCACCATAATAAATAAGGTTTCCAACTTATTGCTAACATCCTGCTTCGGTTTGGGCACCCGGGCAGTATCACAGCCCACACACAAATTGATGAACTCTTTATGCCTATGGAAATTACCTTTCTCGCTTTGAAAAACAATCAATTGATTCAGATTATTATCATTACAATTATTGTCATTATTAATACTAATATTATTATTACTACTATTATTGTCATTATTGTTATTATTATCATTATTATTATTATTTTCCACATTATTCACCCTCTTTTATACCCATACAGCGGCTCGTCTTTGGTGGAATTCCGACTGTATCTAAACGTTCTCGAGTCACTGTCCGGTTGAAAATTGTATGTTACCACCGAATACGAGGACTGAAGCAGATTTCCTGAAACCACGTACATCATTCAAACTGGCTGCCTTCAACGTTCGCACATTTATGCAGGTCGGACAACAGATAGGGCTGGCTATGTCTTTGGAAAGTCTTAATATCGACGTGTGTTGTCTATCCGAGACCCGTATTCAAGACTCTGGCGAAGTACTACAAATTCGATCTCCATCTGTCGCTTCGAAAAGCTTGTTTTACGTGCGCTTATCCGGGGACCCTGTGGCATCTTCGTCTGGTCTTGCTGGCGTTGGTGTCGCAATAAGCGCTAGAGCTGAGGCAGCACTAGTCGATTGGATCCCCATTAACAGTCGGTTATGTGCTGTTAGATTAGAAAGTTCCATCAAAGTGAGAAGAAATCGGCGTGAGAAAAGATGTCTTTTCGTCATCTCCGCCTATGCCCCGACAGATTGCAGCCCGGATGCAATCAAGGATGAGTTTTACCACCAGTTATCAGTTCTTCTCCAGAAAGTGCGTTCGACAGATATTGTAGTACTAGCCGGAGACTTGAATGCTCAGGTCGGGCGTCTAGGCACAGAAGAGAGTCGTTTAGGTGGCCGATGGGGACTCGTTGGTCGCAGGTCAGATAACGGGGACCGTCTACTGCAACTGTGCACAGACCACAACCTGTTTCTGGCTAGCACTAACTTTCGGCACAGTCATCGCCGATGTGCCACCTGGCGTCCTCCCTCTGCATCTCAAGCCTGGACTCAGATTGATCACATTGCGATCAGCTACCGCTGGCGTGGTTGTGTACAAGACTGCCGCTCCTTTTGGAGTACCTATCTGGACTCTGACCATGCCTTGGTCTGCGCCAATCTTGCCTTACTTTTCAGTGAACAACGAAGTGAACGCCATCAACGGATTGATGTTAGCAAGCTGGTTGCAACTTCTGTTGCAAGTAAGTATCGAACCGAGCTAGCCTCTAGGCTAGCTACCACTCCACCGAAAAGTATAGATGAGCATTGGTTGCAATTGCGTGACGCCATGAAAATGGCGGGAACAGTCAGTTGTGGGTTAGCGAAACGTCCCGCTTTTAAGCACTGGGTTTCTGCAGGTTCCTTACAACTCATTGAAGCCCGTCGGTCTACTCCGGGTGACCGTGAGTTTGACCATAAACGAAGGATGCTATGTAAGGAAATCGGGCAAAGCTTGCGTAAGGACCGAGAAGCCTGGTGGTCGGTGCGTGCTAATGAGTTGGAAACAGCAGCTGCATCTGGTAACTACCGGAAGCTCTTCCAGCTTATCCGAGCCACTGGCAGCAAGAAGTCTGGTGTGAGTGAAACAATCTGCGAGGATGATGGGATGCCAATCACTAACATCCATCGACGTCTTGGACGATGGGCAGAGTTTTTCGAAGGGCAGTTCAACTGGCCTGCTGCTCCGGCAACATCGGTCAGACTGTCCTGCCCACCATGGCCGGTGACGAATGATCCACCAAATGAGTAGGAAGTCCGCAAGGAACTCCAACTCTTGAAGCGTTACAAATCACCTGGCCCGGATGACATACCTCCGGCTCTTTTTAAAGATGGTGGTGACTTTTTGACTAAGGAATTGACGACGTTGTTTACAAAGGTTTGGGAACTAGAGAGTGTACCAACGTCATGGAATGAGTCGATAGTTGTCCCTATCTTTAAAAAGGGTTCACGTCTTTCTTGTAACAACTATCGGCAGATAAGTTTACTTCCGATTGCGTCCAAGCTATTGGCTTCCGTCATTCTTCGTAGGTTGTTCAAAACCCGAGAAAGATTGACTCGCGAGGAACAGGCTGGGTTTCGTTCTGGTCGAGGATGTATTGATCATATCTTCACCCTCCGCCAAATGTTAGAACACCGCCATACTTTTCAAAGGCCAACAATCGTAGTGTTTCTTGACATCAGGGCTGCCTTCGATTTGTTGGATTAGAATGTTCTCTGGGATTGGCTATTGAAGAAGGGTGTGCCTGAGAAGTTTATCAACATCCTAAAAGCCCTGTATAAAAACACCTCAGGCAGAGTGAGGGCATACAACCACCTCTCTCCATTGTTCCATTCGAGCAGTGGGGTTAGGCAGGGTTGCCCAATCTCACCATTCCTCTTCAACTTTGCCATCGATGATATTCTGGAAACAGCTCTGATGGATGTAGGTAATGGTGGTGTGGATCTGTTGCCTGGAGAAAGACTTCACGACCTTAAGTATGCGGATGATATTGTCTTACTGTGCGATAATGCCCAAACCATGCAATTCGCACTTAATCCGTTAGCAATCAGTGTCCGTAGGTATGGTATGTGCTTTACACCTTCGAAGTGCAAAGTACTTCTACAAGACTGGCAGGATTCTAATCCTGTACTCACCCTGGACGGTGAGCAGATAGACGTAGTTGAGAAGTTCGTGTATCTGGGTAGCTGCATAAGTCCTGGTGGTGGCGTGAGTGATGAGATCAATGCACGTATAGTGAAAGCCAGAGCGGCTTATGCCAATCTGGGCCACCTTTGGCGCCTTCGTGATGTTAGTCTGGCTGTGAAAGGCCGGATCTACAACGCGTCGGTGAGAGCAGTTTTGCTCTATGCTTGTGAAACCTGGCATCTTCGAGTTGAGGACGTTAGACGACTCTCTGTGTTCGATCATCGCTGTCTCCGAAGGATTGCTCACATCCAGTGGCAACACCATGTCAGTAATGCAGAGGTTCGGCATCGTGTGTTCGGGCACAGAGATGATAACTCAATTGGTGTCACCATCTTGAAACACCGACTTCGGTGGCTTGGACATGTTCTCCGAATGTCGTCCCAGAGAATTCCACGTCGTGCATTATTTGCCGACTCTGGGACTGGTTGGAAGAAGCGGAGAGGTGGTCAGTGCATGACATGGTGTCGTGGCATGAAAGAAAGCTGCAAAGGACTGGCTTGTGTTGGTCCTTCACGACTCCCTGGTTGGGGTCCGAGAGATGGTACTACACAGTGGCTAGAGACGTTATCAGATATGGCTCAGAATAGAAGCCAGTGGCGATCCTGCTGTAACCTTATTTTACTTTCTTCATAAAAAGCGGTTGTGTCTCCTTTACCTGAAAGATTTCTTCTGATTGTACCTTTTCGTTCCGTCGTTACTACCACACTACCTTACTCCAATCTCTTCGTCATTGTTCTCTTTTTCTTTTGCGTTCCTTAGTTTTTTTTCTCTTTCTACTTCTCTTCGAATTCCCATTGTTTTGTGTGGCGCATATATATTGGCGCTCTCTTGTACCAATATTTATGTGTTCAAATAAATAATAAATAAATATTGCTAACATAAAAGTAAATCTGAAGAATACTAACCATAGAAACTAAATACTTTTCTACACTCACTTCTCTTTATGAATTGCGAGTTTTGCTTCACTTATTCGAACTAACGCGCGCAACTTTTTGGATTCAGCTGATAGCTCCCCATAAAGAACGCTCTGTAGTCGATCGAAATTTTTCGACTCAATTTGAGCCTGAAACAAGAAAATATTAACTTGAATAAAGATTATGACAAAAATGGGGGTTTTGACTATCATTTCATAGGGGTTATACTTACTTCTTGTTCAAGACGTTGTAAAGTATCATCTTGATATTTAGAAATAAATATGGGATCAAAAAAAGACTTCATCTCGAAGCTGTTTAGAGTATCCGTAAACTTTTCTAATCTAGACCCACTTTCCGACAGTGCAACAGGTGAGAAACCTCTTTTAGTTGTGACGTCAACTGCCATAACGGTAGAATGACTTGAACGAACTGATGGGGAAACAGAAGTAGGACTTGGTAAATTTGCAATCTCCTTTTTGACTACGACGTCTGGTGTATGTCCAGTTGTATTAGCGGATTTGCTAACATTTGAAAAATTACAAGCAGGAACAGGGGATGCTGATGTGTCTAGTCCGGGATTGCCTTTATTGGACAGAAATGAATCGGTATTCAATCGATTGGAAGCGCTAGTTCGTAACACCCTTAATGAAATTTAAGAAAATCACCGCATCATTAAAAAAAGCAATGTACAACATTTATACTTAGATAAATAATAATCTCAACTGAGAATATCTGTGTACAAAGTGATTATTTTTAGAGCTTGAAAAATATTTGAGTAATAGTTCATAGCGGTCAAAGATAAAAAACAAGTTCACTAATTCCCTTATTCAAAACCACATTTTAGTATACAGTTGAAATGGCTGCCACAGAAAACCGCTATGCGGACAAGCAACTGACTAATTAGATAAGGTAATTTGATTTCGAAAGATAATGACACAAAAAGTCAGTTGCCACGTCCACATCGGTATATGTGCCTCTAAATGCAGCCGAGAGTGTGTAGAGTCAACTATCCCTCTCGAAATGCTCTCACATGGCCACGCGTATACAACCTCTGACAAGGAAGTACTGCTCACTTCCTTCCCAAGGCAAGGGTAATGTTTACGAAATTGTGAAAACAAAAGGCGAATGTCCGACGCTCTAACCGGGTTGGTGGATACGGAGGATCCACCTAGGGGAGTTGGAAAACCATGGTTCCAAGCCAATAATGCACATGGGCTCTAGGATCCTGAGCGAACAAACGGCGTATGAACCTATTGTGTTGGTCACCGGCTACTATGGGACTGCATCTCCCAACGTTGCTCCACTGTCTTGTGCATTGGACCTGTAGGTCAAAGGCTCGGGGTGTGACCCCTAAGGGAACCACCTGTTTCAGTTTGGGTGTTCGAGCAGTATCCCAGTCTTCACACAAGTCGAGTGACTTGTGTGACGCATATTTATTTGGTCCCTCTCTGTACCAATATTTATGTGTTCAAATGAATTAATAAATCATATAAGTACGTTTGTCCACCGGTTAGTGTTCCACTCATTGGTTTTGACAAACGAAAAAGTCTCTATAACTTTATTATGCTGTAAATTCCCCAAATTAGTCTATTTCATTGTTTGTGTGGCGCATATTTATTTGGTTCTCCTCGGTACTAATGTTTATGTGTTTGAATAAATAGAAATAAACGTGTGCACATCTTTTCATCTTGCCATACCCTATTAGCACACAGATGAAATTGTTAGACTAAACACTAGAATAGTAGATGCAGTATCAGTGGTGAGTAAAACGATTAGGCGTCGAAGATTCGATTCGAGAAAAAATAAATTACTGAAATAAAAACAAAAGTTACAAGGAATTTAGAATCACGGGTTTTAGGGGGAGAAATAGAAAGGATGCACCTGCGCCATTCTAAACAATTTCGGGCCATTTCATTCATGGTCTCTAGCCATGAGTTACAGCAATCGCGCGGACCCAAACCAGGTGGTCTACCGTTGACGTGATTCAGTTCAACTGTCATTGTCTTCATAAACTAGTACCATATTCTGGTTTGGGCGCCCCTAATTTCTATCCTGACTACCCATCCATCAGACAACATTGGTGGTTGGGTACACGCAATACATGTCCTAACCAGCTCAGTTGATGAAGGTTCACTACCTCATCAATCGACTTTCCATCTTTACCTCGTTCCCTGTTCCTGACCAAGGTATTGCTAAGTCGATAGTCTCAAAATACATCAGCAATGCTCCGAAGACACCTATGATCGAATTCCAGTAACCTACGAATATCCTCAACACCTAATAACCGTGTTTCACATCCACAAATTAGAACGGAACGAACTGCTACTCAGTACACAGAAAGGTATACAAAGTACCACCTTAGAAATTTCTCGACAGTTATCAAATACGAAAGAAGCCATGGGTATTTGAATCATGTGTTGCCGTGCCACTCCACCGCTTATGCAATACTGGCTTACTACATAAAAGTTTGGTAGCCGAACCAGAATATGACAATACTTTATAACAACACTAGTAATACGACCAGTGCATGGAAATCTAAGAGTCAAGTTACTTGTCCCACTGCTAATAAAATTTAGGCTTCTAACAACTTTCTGGACGTACGATGGTCTACTCCGGTAAACCGCAATTTCAATGAGATGCACATGTCCGTAACTCTAAAACTTTTGCAGAGTGTGAATGAAACCAAAAAAAACTGGTGACCAGAGTGCACTGCCGAGCTCAAAGATGCAACAGCATCTGGTAACGACTGGAACCTGGTTAACCTATTTGAACCATTGGAAGCAAAAACCTGATCTCCGTGAAATAAATTGTGAAGTCGGTAGCACGCCAATTAATAACCTTTAAGTGTCTCAAATCCTGCACAGAACACTTTGAGGGATAGATCAACTGGTCTGTCGCTTCACCAAAGTCGATCAGACTGTTGTACGACCCTTGGCTAGTGACTACAAGTTCACTTAATGAAGTGGAAATCAGTAAGATATCACCAAGCGTGGAATAGATTAAAATTTAATGATCCTGCTGTAGATTTTCATTTTTCTCTCCATAAAAGGAGGATGGACCCTCTTAAGTGAAACAAAACCTAGCTTATTAGAATTCTATGTTGAGCACAATTTTTCCTCACTTATTCGGATTTAAAACCGATCCTTTGTCTTTATCTTCAAAATATTAGCGGTTACGTGGCAAATTGTAGTGCCCTAGAATTTTTGTATGCTATAAATAAGAAATATCAATGCCCTAGTAGCGTTTACAATACTCTTAATATTACCTATAAAAAAATTTATTGTTAAACTTTGTCTAAGAAAGTCTAAGTAGTAAATTCATAATGATAAGCTGATAACACTACGAAGAATAAGGAATTGTATACTCCATATTTGGGAGAAGGGAAAGCTGTAATAAGATTTGGAGTGATTCGTGCTTTAGGTCGCAAATCATGTCTGTTAAATGGAAGCTGAAGATACCATCTAATTTTCAGGACGCCTATAGGTGGAATATGCCCTGAAATATTGAAAAATGCCTCAGCTAAATAGAGGAATTTAAGTGATGAAAATTACGAAAAGTAATTTTATACTGGTACTCATCATATCATAAATGGAAAGGGAAGTGCCAATACTTTCTATATGCAGCGAACTTACCCGCTCTGTAATGGAAAGGTAGGGCTAACATGAGTTGTCGTAGAGATGTTAACTTTGTTCTCAAGACCTACCAGAATATAAGAAAATAAAAATACATTGGTGAAATTAATGTTTTGCCCAACACGTATATAATAATTTATATACACTACACTATTTATCACAAAAACCTAGAATTGAAGAGATATTACATTTGTCAAAACAGATTGACTAACTACTTGCGAAAAGAATTCACTCATTATGTCAATTTTGGTTACGTTTATTAACAAAACAATAGTACATTTATGAGTAAATAGTCAATCTTAGAAAACATTAATGCAGATGCTGAACATAAACCTCCACTTCATCTGGTTCATATTCCAGGGTACTAGGTCACTGGTCATAACTGCAACTACTAATAATAAGAAAATCAATCGTCTTTGGTTTCAAAGGCAGACATTTGCAACTGTGATTAATTGGGAAAGATAAATATGGATAAATCAACGAGATAAGATGTATAATTTATATAACTGAGTCACGTAAGACAGTGAGGATAGTTCTACGTAATACAGAATCTACCGTGTTAAGTTAGGACATGAACCATATATTGTTGCACAAAGTTAGCAGCTGTATAACCTTAACTCAAGATCCTCTTATAATGAACCCAATACCAAGGTGTAATCAACTCTTATCTATTGACCCGAAAAGCAACCAAAAACAATGAAATAGACTAATTTGGGGAATTTACAGCATAATAAAGTTATAGAGACTTTTTCGTTTGTCAAAACCAATGAGTGGAACACTAACCGGTGGACAAACGTACTTATATGATTTATTAATTCATTTGAACACATAAATATTGGTACAGAGAGGGACCAAATAAATATGCGTCACACAAGTCACTCGACTTGTGTGAAGACTGGGATACTGCTCGAACACCCAAACTGAAACAGGTGGTTCCCTTAGGGGTCACACCCCGAGCCTTTGACCTACAGGTCCAATGCACAAGACAGTGGAGCAACGTTGGGAGATGCAGTCCCATAGTAGCTGGTGACCAACACAATAGGTTCATACGCCGTTTGTTCGCTCAGGATCCTAGAGCCCATGTGCATTATTGGCTTGGAACCATGGTTTTCCAACTCCCCTAGGTGGATCCTCCGTATCCACCAACCCGGTTAGAGCGTCGGACATTCGCCTTTTGTTTTCACAATTTCGTAAACATTACCCTTGCCTTGGGAAGGAAGTGAGCAGTACTTCCTTGTCAGAGGTTGTATACGCGTGGCCATGTGAGAGCATTTCGAGAGGGATAGCTGACTTTACGCACTCTCGATCGTACCAGGGCATTTGGGGGTCAAATAAATTTATTCTTCAGGAAAAGTTATCTTTCTTTGTTATCAGTGTCATCAGAACTATACGGCTGACGTGTACAACCGACCCTGACCATGAATTACACTAGAATTTAGTTACATTTCCGAATTTGTGCATCTGAAGTAACCAATATGGCAACTCGTTGACAGTTATCAACTGTAAATTGTACACTCTTTGACTACCTAATTAATCAAATTCGCTGTGTATAGGTCTACAGGTACAATATACAACTGTATTGTATCTTGAAATAGACAGTCCAGTTACGTAACTTTAGTCCAAGACAAATTACTAAAAACCACAATATGCTTGCTGTGAGACATTGTAGAAATCCATAAATTTATCTATGATTGTTTTTGTTTGAAAATTTAAGTCTTTCGAGTCGGAATTGAAGATAACTTAGTTGATAATTGAAGGAAGAGATGTAGGAAAGACGAGTGATTTGTTAGAAGATTCATAATTTATTTTCTGCACAGCTATATGCAAAAATAAAAAATCACACCCTCACTGAGCAATTTTTACGCCACAGTCAAACTGAATTTGCTCAGGAAACAACGAAAAAACTTTCATCATGTCTAACAAACTGAAATAATACGTCTGATCACAGATAGACGACGTATTTGCTTCTGACAACCGAAACAGTTCTAATTGTCTTGGTGATCGCTACCTTCACCTGTTCTAATAGTGGACAACTGATTCATCCTCCTTTTAAATTCAACCATTTATTGACTTTTCAAGATTAATTTCCTCAATATGTCTAAACAATTATTCTCGGTTGATTATCATTCCTACTCCCATATCTTCTGCTTTCCTTACTTAGTATTGAGTATCATCTTCAGAGTTCCAGTCACGACATGTTTAATTCACCAGCTAAACATGGGTGTTGAACAGCTCTTATCGAGGAGAGCTATGACGCCTCGTGGTGGAACTTGACATTCTTAAGATAACGCAAGATTGGTCTCCCTTCTGACAATCAAAGCAACAATTAATACAGGTATGTGGAATATCCAAACAATGTATGAAGCCGGGAGGATTATTCAAATGGCTAATGAAAGTGAGGAGATATAACCTAACTTTGCTTCGAATATGTGAAGCCGATTAGACAAAATTTGGACAGAAAAGGCCAACTTCGTGAGAGGTGGTTTGATAACCTGGTTATGAATTGATGAAATTCACTGATATAAGCAAACTATTGCTTTTGCTTCGGAGCCCAATGTGTTCTAGTACAAAATCGTAAATCCAGCTAATATGCCTATTACAGGTCAACAGATAGGTAACTTCAAGACCAACAAGCTGGGTTTCGTAAGGATTGGTCATGTACTGACCTAGTCGCAACACTTCTGATCATTGTTGAGCAATCAATTGGAAGGAAAGTGTCGTTGTTAATTGACTTAAATTAGGAGTGCACTCAACAATGCATACAGAAAGTTTGTGGAATCTTCTTGGACAATTCGGAGTACCTGAGATCATCAACATCATACAGAACTCTAATGGGAGACTGAACTGCGTATTGAAAGCAGCTGACAGATCCACTCCAAGTGAAAACCGGAGTAAGACAAGGCTGTTTACTCTAGCCCTTTCACTTTTTCCTGGTGGTCGGCTGGATTATCAAGAGACCTCCACATTTGAGGGGAAGTCTGGAAAACAATGGACAGCCTGTATGCAGCTACATGATCAGGACTTCACAAATGACCTATCTCTTCTATTCCCTACACAACAACAAATGCAGGTGAAGACACCCAATGTAGCAGCAGCAGCAGCTGTAGTTGGACTCAACATATACAAGGAAACAAGAGAGATACTGGAATACAGCTCAGTGAGCGCCATTAAAATCAAACTTGGAGCTACGGAAGAGGTGGAAGCTTTGACGCACCTGGACAGCATAATTGAAAAGTAAAAAAAATCTGATGCAGATTTGAAAGAGTGCATTAGCGAAGTAAGGCCAGCATACCTATAATCGAAGAATATCAGGGAATCAAAACAACTTCTCGTCAACACCAAAGTCAAATTTCCAGCTCTAACGTAAAAACAGTTCCATCGTACGGAGGTTAAACTTGGAGAACTATTACAACCACCACCAAAACGACAAAAGTACTTATAAAAAACTATCTACGCAAGATAATCCAGATCCATTGTCCGAGGAGCATTAGCAATAACGTACTGTGACAGAAAACAAACCAGCTTTCGGTTAAGGAAGGCAATGGTAAAAGACGTTGGGAGCGCATAGGACACTATGCGAGTCAGTCAGGACAGTCACATAAATGGACAAATATGTATTTTCTAGCTTGATTAATGGTTCAACATCCAATTATCAAAGCAAAGGTGACATAAACGTTTATTTATTTACTACAGATAACACTATTTCATACTCCACAAGAGACTAGGGTTCCGAAATTCGAGGCTGTCGACGACAACTGACTTCAAAGATCTGACTAATACCTTGATAAGCTGAAAAGATAATAATGAACCAGACATCTAATCAAACGTTTTTTCTACAACATAAAAGATGTGGTAGTGTAAGAATGGTGACTTTCACCTCTAAACTTCATTTTTCGGTTCCCTCCTCAAATGTCACCATAGCCAACGATTCTAGTGCTCAAAACACTGTCCCAGGTCTACTGAAACCTCGCTCCACACTACACATTGGAGCCTTCAACGTACGCACCCTATGTCAAATCGGCCAGCAGGCTTCCTTGGCTAAAACCCTAGAATCTCGTACCATTGATGTATGCTGTGTCTCCGAAACACGCATACAGGATCCCAGTGTGGTCATTCACTTGACCTCACCTCTGCAAAACGGAGAGCCAACGAGATACACCCTACGTGTATCTGGTGACGCGATGGCCAGCTCTCGTGGACTGGCAGGAGTAGCGATAGCACTATGCATGAGGGCGGAAAAAGCACTGTTAGAGTGGATCCCCATCAACAGTCGTCTATGTGCTGTTCGGCTAAACGGCTCCGTAAGAACTCGGAAGGATAGGGACACACGTCGTTGCCTTTTTGTCGTTTCTGTCTACGCTCCCACCGACTGCAGCTCAGATGAAATGAAAGATGAATTTTACAGAAAGATATCCGGACTTCTTCAGAAAGATAAACGTTCAGACATAGTACTCGTAGCAGGTGACTTTAATGCCCAGATAGGAAGTTTAAACCAAACAGAAAGGCATTTAGGTGGGTATTTTAGTATTCCGGCACAACGAACAGATAATAGTGACCGTCTGCTGCAACTGTGCTCAGACAATCGTTTATTTTTAGCAAACACAAATTTTAAGCATAAGGAGAGACATCGTCTAACATGGCGACCCTCTACACCAAACCAACGATGGACTCAAATGGACCATATTGCCATCAGTCATCGTTGGAGAGGGTCGGTAGAAGATTGTCGCTCATTCTGGAGTACCTGCTTGGACTCCGACCATGCCCTAATACGGGCACTCATCTGCTTGCGCCTCACTGGACGCAAAAAAGCCACATTAAAAAGACCCATTAGAACTGAGTTGAGTAACGAGAAAACCAAAAGTAGGTTTCAGGAACAACTGAGTTCACAATTAGGTAGTTCTGAAAACGAGACTGACCGAGATGTTGCTTGGAAAGATATACAAACAGTTGTGGAAACAGTAATGAAATCTATTGGTGACTTAAACCACAGGGTTACAATTTATTTATTTGAACACATATATATTGGTACAGGAGTGCGCTAAATATATATGCGCCACACAAAACAATGAGAATGTAAGAAGAAAAAAGTGGGGAACGTTAAAAAATATGAAAAAAACAATACCGAAGAGATTGGTGTAAGGTGGTGTAATAATAATCGTAATAGTAGGGGAACAGAAGGGTACAATCAGAAGAAATCTTTCAGTTAAGGAAGATACAACCACGTTTTATGGAGAAAGTAAAAGAGGGTTACAGCAGGATCGCCACTGGCTTCTATTCTGAGCCATATCTGATAACATCTCTAGCCACTGTGTTGTACCAACTCTAGAACCCCAACCAGGGAGTCGTGAAGGACCAACACAAGCCAGCCCTTTGCAGCTTTCTTTCATACCACGACACCATGTCAAATATTGACCACCTCTCCGCTTTCTCCAACCAGTCCCAGAGTCGTCAAATAATGCACGGCGTGGAATTCTCTGGGACGACATTCGGAGAACATGTCCAAGCCACCGAAGTCGGTGTTTCAAGATGGTGACACCAATTGAGTTATCATCTCTGTGCCCGAACACACGATGCCGAACCTCTGCATTACTGACATGGTGTTGCCACTGGATGTGAGCAATCCTTCGGAGACAACGATGATCAAACACAGTCGTATACCATCCTCAACTTGAAGAGGCCAGGTTTCACAGGCATAGAGCAAAACTGCTCTCACCGACGCGTTGTAGGTTCGACCTTTTACGGCCAGACTATCATCACGAAGGCATCAAAGATGGTCCAGATTGGCATAAGCCTCTCTGGCTTTCACTATACGTGCATTGATCTCATCACTCACGCCACCACCAGGACTTATGCAGCTACCTAGATATACGAACTTCTCGACTACTTCTATCTGATCACCATCCAGGGTGAGTACAGGATTAGAATCCTGCCAGTCTTGTAGAAGTACTTTGCACTTCAAAGGTGCAAAGCACATAACATACCTACGGACACTGATTGCTAACGGATTAAGTGCGAATTGCATGGTTTGGGCATTATCGCACAGTAAGACAATATCATCCGCATACTTAAGGTCGAGAAGTCTTTCTCCAGGCAACAGATCCACACCACCATTACCTACATCCATCAGAGCTGTTTCCAGAATATCATCGATGGCAAAGTTGAAGAGGAATGGTGAGATTGGGCAACCCTGCCTAACCCCACCGCTTGAATGGAACAGTGAAGAGAGGTGGTTGTATGCTCTCAATCTGCCTGAGGTGTTTTTATACAGGGCTTTTAGGATGTTAATAAACTTCTCAGACACACCCTTCTTCAATAGCCAATCCCAGAGAACATTCTAATCCAACAAATCGAAGGCAGCCCTGATGTCAAGAAACACTACGATTGTTAGCCTATGAAAAGTATGGCGGTGTTCTAACATTTGGTGGAGAGTGAATATATGATCAATACATCCTGGACAGGAACGAAACCCAGCCTGTTCCTCGCGAGTCAATCTTTCTCGGGTTTTGAACAAACTACGAAGGGTTACAAAGAACTAATGGATTTCCTCAAGGTCTATTGCACTGATGGATTCTCGTAAACTCATCCCATCAGGCTCTGAACACGATGAAGAGCGAAAACAAATCAGATCTAGGTTAGGCAAAAGTCTAAAGAACGACCGTGAGCAGTGGTATGCAACGAAAGCAAAAGAGATGGAAAGGACGGCGGCTATAGGGAACACAAGACAGCTCTACAAGCTGGCTTCAGACGTGGTCGTGGCTGCATTGACCACATATTCACCATTCGTCAGGTTCTAGAACATAGGCATACTTATCGGCGTCCGACAATGGTGGTCTTTCTAGACTTAAAAGCAGCATTTGATTCGGTAGACCGCGAGATTCTGTGGCAGTGTCTGTCATTGAAAGGCGTACCTCAGAAGTACATAAACCTTGTGAAGGCTCTTTACTCGAACACTACCAGTCGAGTCAGAGCTTATGGCGAACTGTCATCTGCTGTTGCAACCTCAAGTGGTGTCCTTCAAGGTTTTCCACTCTCTCTAATTTTGTTCAACTTCATCATAGACATTCTTATGGAAACAACGTTCTCGTCGACTGAATTTTCGGGCATTGATCTCCTTCCAGGAGGTCCACTTATCGACCTAGAATACGCAGATGATATAGTCCTGTTTGGTGAAGACACTAATAAAATGCAGAGTCTTCTGGTAGCACTAAGCAACAATGCCAGAATGTTTGGAATGCGCTTCTCTCCCTTTAAATGCAAGTTGTTGCTTCAGGACTGGTCTGCGTCAACACCTGAATTAAGGATAGGGAGTGAAGTAGTCGAACGCGTTGACAACTTCACTTATCTTGGAAGTCTGATCAGCCCTAATGGGTTGATGTCTGACGAAATCTCAGCACGGATTCGAAAAGCTCGTTTGGCTTTTGCCAACTTACGTTACCTATGGCGAAGGCGAGATATCCGTCTATCAATAAAAGGACAAGTATACTGCGCGGCAGTCCGTCATGTTTTAATTTACGGCAGCGAAACATGGCCATTAAGAGTAGAAGACACTCGTAAGCTACTAGTATTTGACCACAGATGCCTCAGAAATATTGCTGGCGTCTGCTGGGATCACCGGGTAAGTAATAGTGAGGTTAGACGCAGGGTATTAGGGAATGATGGTAAATCAGTTGATGAGGTTGTGAATCTTCATCGACTGAGATGGTTGGGCCACGTGTTACGTATGCCCAAACACCGATTACCACGACGTGCAATGCTAACCGGCGTTCGGGATGGTTGGAAGAAAGTTAGAGGCGGCCAAACCAAAACGCGGCATCAGTGCCTGAAGTCACTAACTTCTAGTCTGAGCCATGTTGGTAGATGCAGACTACTTGGTTGGGGTTCGCGTGACTGTCGTAACTAATGGTTGGAGACTCTTGGTGACATGGCTCAGAATCGATCACAATGGCGTCGGTGTATACACTCTCTATCTTCCCTTAAACTAAGAGAGTAAAATTGCTTCATATCTTTCATTCTATGAACTAATTCTTTCTTGCTGTACTATATCCTTATTGCAATCTTTCCTTTATATATTATCACCTCTGAATTAGCTACTTTTATGAATTCGGTGTCCATCTTGTTGTGTTTATGAGGTATGGCAACTTGGACCGATGCATAAATGTGCCTGGTCCTACGTTGTAGCGGACTGACTGACTGATTGTAATAAAATGAACTTAAATTTCGCTTTTGTATATAGACAGCTCGAAGTCACGGAATAGCTAATAAAGCGTACGAAATTATTTCCATGTCTTATTACTGAAACTCTATTTACACAATTGCAGGTTACACATAAATTGACATAGACAGAGAGAATCTAGCCAACTGACAACTGCTTTTGATAGCTGATTTCTAAGGAAGAGGTAAACGTCAGTAAACAGAAAAGCAATACCATGATCACAAAGATTGTTTAAAAACACTCAACGGACTTGTTGTAACAGAATTAATACCTTATCTAACATGACTGTTTATAAAAACAAGTATTCATCTAAACTAACCTTTTTTATTGACAGGAAGATCTGAATCTGGACAAGTATTGAGACGATTATTGGACTGTACGGATGTTGCAGGATCTCCAGACATATGGTTGGAAGTATGGTGATGTAGAGCTGCTTTTAAAACCTGTACAAGATCATTTAACTGGGTATGTTGTGATCGAGTGTTAGGATTTACGGGATCTCTGTTCACTAGGATGTACAGTACGAAAAACGAAACAAACTAGTCAGTCAAATTATACCAATACTGAATAACTGACTCACAATGGTTTTTTAATTATTTAATTATTTATTGGTCTGGATAAAATGTGCCTCGTAAACCTAGAAAATCAGCTTTCGAAAGTCACATTTTACTACCACAGAACAATATTAGTCGCTAAACCAATTAGTTTGTGAGCGCTGTACGATGATAAAACCATTTTAAAACGTATAGATTAATATTAATAATAAAACGTCCACTTTTTTGAATAGTGAAATTAATAAACTTAGAATTACTTAACTCAATCTGCAAGAATGATAAAACGCCGGACCCGCTTTTGATAAACCACATTTTAGAACAACCGAGCGTTTGACAAATCCAATTGAAATAAATGATAGGTATGTGTTGCCAGTAAATGTAAAACACGAGATGGGGATGACATATACAATTTAAACGAATCAAAGTACTTAACGTGTGAACTAATTCCACGAATAATTGACAGTGAAAAGTATTTAATTTATTAGAAACGCTTACGCTAAAGGACTGATTACTACTTTATATGAACTAGGGAGAATGAAGTGAATAAATTCACTTACATGAATGGTTGGTTTGAAGGGTTTGTGAAATGGATGCTCGAGTGGAATGTCCAGGTGACGTGGATCCTTTTAGATTTTCTGGTAATCTGCTAGAGCTAAGTGACACATTTCTGTTGAAACTGTGTTCCTCAGTTGTACTTTGACAGTGAGCTTGTTCAGCCAAAATTTCGATGATCTTGTCAACTTGACGTGACGACAAATCATAATGAGATAGAGAGACACAAGTTTGATGTGATGCACTGGAAACAGATGTGGTGGTATTATTTGGATTATGTGGACTGTAAATCACAGCTGGACTATTCTGATGCGAAACACTACAGCAAACAGGATGAGTTGCGTTAAAATGGAAACGATGGTTTCCGCCCTGAGAAGTGACGGGATTGGGATATGCTGGACTGTGACTAGAGCTTACTGTGCGTCTTGGATCACCCATCGAATATAGTATCTGAGAAAAAACAAAGCCAGACGATAAAAGATAACGTAAATCGAGCTATACAATTGTCGCACGGCTAGTTCTACGGTTTTTGATGGTTGACAAACATTGAAACTAGCATTCAGATATCAGACTGAATATAATGTCACAATTTCTGTTGAAAAAGTCGCCAATAAGACTTCAGATTATTCTGTTTTGGAGTATATGTTACATGAAATTAAGATAGTTTGCCGTTTGTTCTAAGTATCACTTCAAAAATCGACTCTAGCAAATTCACATAAACTATCAACTTTTGCTTGTTAATCGGAAGGCCTTTAATTACATATAATGACCAAAATTTGACCACAAATATGTGAATGTGGGCAAATCATAAGGAAAACATAACCAAATAAATTAAACTTTTTGGTATAAACCATTGAAACAATATCAGTAAGTGGCATTGTGGAGGCGCCACAATGATAAAAGGAATATGACGTAATGATTACCACAAATACGGAGCTATGAAAGTAATTTTAGTGACGAGAATTCATGCAAAGATCATAAGCAACTGTGGATAATTTTCCATTTAGCAGTTTTTGAACATTCATGAAGACAGTAAAATATATCAGTCAGTCGAACCTAACGTAGAACCTGACATCAGTTCAGGTTAACACACCCCATTAGCAAGGTGAAACGAAATTATTAAGGCAAATCACAGAGTAGTATATGTGGTAACATGATCAATGATAATAGAAACCACATATCGAAGATGTAATCCGACAGGGAAAATGAATTAATGAAACGATAGAGAAGAATTTGAGGATTGTAGAAGTCTAGATTCTAGAAGACAAAAGGTGAACGCAGCTGATTCATTGCACCACTATATGAGCATGATACGACTTTATTAGAAAACAGGTCTGTAAAATTGCTGTTAAAAGTTACGTTATAATAACAATACTTCTGGTATGATAAAAAACAGGTTTGGGCATTTCTGGTAAATCATGCTTACAGATATGATAACCTGCATCCTTGACGTCTGGGTTCATACTGACAATTTATTTGTTTTTTTGAAGTATCTCTTAACTTTAATAATATTTAAGTTGTAAACAAATGACGAAAAACCAAGAGATAAATGAATTTATACTCTATTAGAACATTTATTTTTGTTTTATCCACTCATTAATTTGAACTGGAATATTTGAATTCGGGAGTTGAAATGGTAACCACCTAGCATCGGTCACTCACTACTTTAGTTTACAGAGGACAGGTTCCGGTGACTACCAGAAGGATCAATTCAGTAGTTCATAATATCGTGGTTTATTTGGTTTCCTGAAACGTGGTAGGAGCTGAAAAACAGGAAACCTGAAAAATCACAAACTTAAGAATAGATTGATGGTAGACAAACTAAATCATCTATCTTTAATTTTCGGGACTGAAGTGTGCCTACTGACGTTTGATTGCCTCTCTAGTCCTTTATCGATGATTCGAAAAGTTTTGTACAACTGCCCGTCTCTGAAATCAATTGATATATATATATATATATATATATATATATATATAGCTTTGAGCCACATAAGTGACTAGTGGCACTCAAAAAACAATTATAAACGCAGAACCTTGCAAATATGTATATTAGTTCATATGATAACACGATATCAGCAGTCAGCAAGACAAGTATCAGACTAGCAGTAGTAACAATGTCGATGATGAAAGGAAATATTAAGCATAGACAATAAGATTAAAAATGAGCTCACCAATTAAAGCGCATATAATAATTTCAGAATTTATTATCTAAGGGATGAAAAACAGTAACTGCATCCGAATCGCTGGGACCCATTTCGACTCACCATGCATTTTCGTTGTGATAAACGAGCGGACTACAATCGTGTTTGAATGAAAACATCGTTCAATACAACAGTCGATGACTCCACAAACTAATGTGACGTTTCGGTCTGGCGGACTCTCGATACTTTCCAAGCTACTGTTCCATCAACTGATATTTCCGTCGAGGAAGGTTGTGATCAGGCATAAGCAATAAATGCTTAAACCCACTTGATCAATGAAGACACACAAACATATCAACCTGTCACATTTAACAGTTATCCTACATCTAACCTTAGTAATACTCACTCCGTAGTCTCAATATATGCCCTTAAATGCCCTGGTCCGGCCGAAGGTGCTTAGAGTCAACTATCCCTCTCGAGATTCTCTCACATGGCCACGCGTATACAACCACTGACAAGGAAGTACTGCTCACTTCCTTCTCAAGGCAAGGGTAATTTTTACGAAATTGTGAAAACAAAAGGCGAATGTCCGACGCTCTAACCGGGTTGGTGGATACGGAGGATCCACTTAGGGGAGTTGGAAAACCATGGTTCCAAGCCAATAGTGCACATGGGCTCTAGGATCCTGAGCGAACAAACGGCGTATGAACCTATTGTGTTGGTCACCAGCTACTATGGGACTGCATCTCCCAACGTTGCTCCACTGTCTTGTGCATTGGACCTGTAGGTCAAAGGCTCGGGGTGTGACCCCTAAGGGAACCACCTGTTTCAGTTTGGGTGTTCGAGCAGTATCCCAGTCTTCACACAAGTCGAGTGACTTGTGTGGTACATATTTATTTGGCGCCTCTTTTTACTAATATTTGTGTTTAAATAAATAGGTCTCAGTATATGCGAGCAATCTTTCAAAAGGACCAATAGCCAAGGACCAGTAACCTAGGAATATCTTTTCTCAAAGCCATAAAATGGAACAGAACGAATTGTTGAAGCAAACCTGCACTTTGTTAGGCAGACAGATATCTGATCTATGCTACAAGTAATTGAAGCTGGAAAAAACCAAGCAATTTTTTTCTAAATTTATGTCGAGATGCCTTCAAGCAACAGACCAGCAAGTCTAGTGAGCCTTTCAAGTGGTAGCCAAAGCAACCAACTGTGACCATAAGGTTTTTCTTAAAAACTATGAACACTATGAACAGATGTGTGTTATCACCTACATCAGAGTACTATTTAATCTGAAGTTAGTGAGTTGGAAGAGGGTTGAAAGTATGCTAAAAAAATTTGTTCTCAAGACTTATTAGTATCCTCGGTACTGAGTATAGCTATTAACAGTCCTGGTAGGATTATTTCTGTCGCTACTGCTTTATTTCACAACTAATATTGATCATTTCGTCAACTAGCTGCTTATTGTAAGCGGAAATATTGTGGTCCAGTCAACGTGCTTACTTATTGACAGATGGCTTTTGTACTTGCTGCAGCATGTCATACACAACTAAAGAAATTAGGTTTCAAAAATTCCTTCTAAATTACAATCCACCGTGAAAGCGATGTTTGTATTGAAGTTATTTCCGAAAATCACAGCACAATACAATATTCTCATTAACAAATTCTGACTCCAATAGTTTCATCCCGTCTTTCACTCTTTCTGATATTGCTGAAAAATCCTTGACTTAAATCCTAGGAAATAAAATGAGTCTACAAACCGACTGACACAACACGAGTCTTGTTGTTAAAATCACATTTTCTCATAACAAAACAAGCTTAGTAAAACTCAGGACAAGCGCGTTACTTTAATGCACACACATGTTGAAAAAGGCTAGTGATAACAACTTACCTTACTACCAGTTGTGTAACCCTGACCATGATCATATGAGGAGCCTTTATGTACACTACAATTCTGAGACTCAACATTGACTGAACTGGGATATGCAGCAGGACTGTCCATTTTTGTCAGTTGCCTGGAATTCAAGACTGTGGGCGAACATATTCGGCCATCGAGATGGACATCGGATTGCTTATATCTTTTTGAGATAATATTTGGAGAAAGCTGGTTAGTGGTCATCTGACTGTTTTCTGAAGGAACTGACGCTTTGCATGATTCATAAACTGAACCATTGATAGGTTTTTCAGAGGCGCAGGACAAGGATTTGGGTGGCTGTTCGAGCAAATCCCCTATGGAAGCTCGGATAGCATCCACTAATTGATGCAATGTAGATTTTTCTAAAGTAAAGAGAAAGAATAACAATTAGTGTTCACACGCATTGAGCTCACTCATGGTTTGAATTGTTAAGTATCTATGTACTAGGATTATTGTGAATAAAAATACAAAACCAAAGTCCTGTAAAACTCATGCTGATGAAATGAATTAGGATAACCTACATTTCCTTGGAAACTGAATTCAACTTTCGCATTATGTAAATAAGTAAAATTACTGCCCCCACAATTAAATGAATGGCATCTTAGAAGTAGAGAGACAAGCACAAGGAATAAAGGCATTAAAGTATGACTGGTACCTGGATTCTGGCCAATTTCACGGCACGGGACTACTGCTGCTTTAGATTTGCAGTCCCTGGGACGCTGTAAGCTGAGGGTACCTGGTGAACAAAAGCTCATATTGGACTTCTGGGGAGAGAACTGTCTATTAGGCGGGAATTTTGTAGAGCTCCCATCTGACAATGGGGAGCTATTTGGAGATATTTCCATATCATCTGTTGTGAAGGTCCTGGGTGGGAGATGATTTAGCTTTGTTTTCCTCAATGGATCGTACCGACAATCATGAGCCACAGGACGGCTAACTAATCGGAAAGCCATGTTAGCACAAATAGCAACAAACCATGGTTTTTTCCGTCATTGTGGGAAATTCCTGTGGTATGACCTACATCAGCGATATGGCTACAAACAAATAAAAATAATATATTATTACTTGGATATATTAGTGCCAAGATGTGATGAACCTGGACGCCGAATCTCCGCATTAACCGAATACTTTGTGCGTTTTAATTCATTAGATAGATGTGAGCGCTCATCTTTAATTGTACCAGGTTCACTTTCAGAGATACTATGTGATCTTTTCAGATTGTTTTCTAAAATAAGTGAGGCACATGTTGAAAGATACCTTCAGTGTGTTTACGCTCACTGAGCAACTTAAGTAGGTCTCTCCTGTTCATTTCAGGTAAATCCCACTCAGGAGGCTTTTGCCATTGAGAAACTTCAGTCATGCAGTTGTAAAAGTATATCTTGCCTTTGGAGCTTAACTGCTCTGACCAGTACCCACAAGTTCTGATTGCACTTTTCTGCCACTATGAGTATAGTCAAATGGAAAGTACAACAAACTTGCCTCCGGTTTCCCATGCACACTGCGTTCTTTCTTTGTTTGATGGTTAACAGAGTTTGACGAGCGGTTGGAATGATCCATGAAGACTAACAAAATAGTAACATAATCATCAATCAAGCTACCTTCCATGTGTTCCTCACTACTGCTACAAGTACTTAACGTGTGGATAGCAAGTCACAAAGGAGAAGCCTTCGGCCGATCCTGACAACGCATATATACTAGCTACGTTTAGGAATAATACTAAGAGCCCGCCAAAACAGTTGTAGTCGCGGCAAAAGAGCCGGCGAGCCATATTGTCAACTAGGTGGACATTTGACTCAATAAAACAAATACACAAATTTAATAACCTTAATTTTAATCATTTGGTATATCTTTAGTCGTGCTTAATATCTTAGACAAAGATTTTCATCGACATGAATTCGGAATAAGTTGAAGCAGCAATTAACAATATTTCGTATTGTGTACCAAAGAATCTTCTGAGCACCCAACACCAGAAATAAAATGCGTAGTGATAAGCAACTCCCTTAAATAAATAGTTCCATGGGTCCCAGGTATTGATGACCTCATTAGTTCTACTGGACACATCCTAGCTGAAGGTGGTCAGTTACGGAGTCGCCATTAGACACGCCATGCTATGCAGCGGTCGCAAAAACTAGTCACTTATATCATGCACTTATAGAAATATTACCTATCTTCCATATATACCTTAGAACCCCTTCATTCCTGACTTTCAGTTTGGCCAGGTTGGTATCTTTCGATTACAAGTGTATTACGGAAAACATTATTGTCGGGCCCTGAAATCCATGACTTTAGTCGTCGCAAACCGCGCCTCAAAACTGTGAACTTCAAACGTTCTTGAGCAGAAAAAATTTCATCAGTATTTCCACGGGATTCTCTTGAGGCTACTTGTTATTTTAATATAAAGGATGTGCTATTCTCACTTGATGAGTTTGTAGTAACTCACATTTATCACGAGAACACAACTGGTTTAATAAAAACAATTATTATTATAACCAACTGTACCAATGTTTGTTTTAATGTGCTTTTGTTTGACTGTGCTAATGACAGCTATTTTGCGCTTCCATTCTTATTCTTACACTTTTGATTGTGACTTCGCGCGGATTCGGTTACGTTCTGTAACCAAACTTGTATCCTGGCACGATCTCGGTATCGTTTCGATACAACGAGATCGCCAGCAAATATATCTCGACTTGGTCCATTAACTGCCTTCTGATATTTGGCTTCTCGGGGATTTTATGGATCTATTTGGTTACGTTCAACCTTCGCTTTCTGATTTACTTGGCACGTGTTTCTTTGTAGCGGTGTTCATAGTTAATCCCAACTCGACGCCACGCTACAAGTTGAAGACAGATCATAATAGTTGTAAACGTGGTCAAGGATAAGCTTCTGTAGTAACGCTGATAATTATTATCGGTACGGAAGTTGATGAGCTTCTTTTCAAACGATCGGCAGAAAGGTTTTTTTCACTTTTTTCTCGCAGGGCGAGTAACAGAAACTGTAAACGCTTAACATACGAAATTCAACAATTATTTCCCTTGGACTTTTGTGACCAATTTTTCAAGCTATAACCCATCAGATGCAGTTACGTATTGGAATGTGTTACTTGACCTTCTAGACGAAAACATATTCAAATATTACGAATATGTTTTGTTACTGCACAGACCTCTAGTTTGCTTCTTGAGCTCAAGCTATGTATAGTTTGTTTCTTAACACAGACACATATTTAGTACCTTTACTTCTTACTCATCCCGGGAGAGTGATGTCTTTGTCATATGAAAGTGCGCCCTAATCAAAAGGATAGTGGTATTTTTCCTCGCTAAGTAAATCCTATTGTTTTGATCGTTTATTACATATCAAGACTACTGTTTTCACTTTAATTGAATTTATTTCAGGTAAAGTACTCGACTAGAGTATCATTACTGTTTCTGAATTAGTCTTTCGTTGGTACTTTTGTGTACTTCGTTTTCTGTTCTATTTGTTAGTGCTTTTGGTTCTAACAGTCTACAGTTTTCCACTTTTTTTGGTCATAGATCATTTTTGTTTCAAAGTATTATTGCATCTACTTCTTTTTTTAAAAAAGACCTGTCTGACCATTGGACAGTGCAAAAAAAGCAGTTGCCAAAGTCCAGCCTGTCATATCAAAGTGCCTTGCTACTCTTCTGTTGCCCTTTTTTTCTTCAGAAATTCGCTCTGAGGGCACGGCTATGAAACTTCTGACATCTGGAACGAACTTAACGTACGCGTCTCTTCAAGGTCATGGTTTACAGCAAGAGCTCTACGAGTATACTTTATAACAACTATAAACTTATTAAGTTGGGAAGCATTTTGTGAACTAACAAATTTTGTGATTTATAGATCATGCCTGTAAAAATGGCGTGTACCTGCACATGCAGAAATATATTATTATAATCCCGTTGAAAGCAGCATGCAGTGCGATGATTGAAAAGGATGGTACCACGAAGTTTGCATTAATTTAACGCCTGCGGCTTTCAAACGGTTCAGTAAAAACTGTTGCGTATGGCTTTGTCAACAGTGCTGTTCGGATGCAAACAGCTTGCTAACCGAGGCCGTCTCATTGGTAAGTGCTGCCAAAAAATGTTTTGGCAAGCGTGGTCGGGACACATCAAACAGTACTCGCTCTGTTGGTGTAAAGCAAACTCATGTGAGTTTGAAAACAGGTGATTCACCCCAACCATAGGAGTAAAAACAGTCTTCAAAGAGGTCTGTCTCAACCAAAAACTCAAGAAAAGAAGTTTCTTCAGTCCCCAGTCTTCTAAATGGTAGCCAGCAGGAAACACCTAGAAGCCGCAAGCGCAAGGCTCGATCGGTTTTTAGGGGGAAACATAACCTGACCTCCCAAATCGTCGACAGCCTCCGGAATCCCACAGTATGTTTGACGCAACTGTAGTTGCCTCTCATAGCAACGTTGACGAATGGGTACAGGTTGTAAGGAAGAAACAACATAACGATATAAAAGGGAATCCTGTCCCCGTAAAAGTAGTAGAGAAATCAAAGGCTAATCACAGTGACAGATCAATTATTTTTCATAGAATCAAGGAGAGTGAAAGCTCTGAACCAAAAACTCGTTTTGAGCATAGCATTGTGCTGATAAAACAGCTACTTAATAAACTCATACCTCAAAATAACCCGGAATCACCTTGCTAAGGGTGTACAGACTAGGTAGTCTAGCGATCCTGAAGCCTAATCGATCCAGACTGTTTAAAGTAGTATTCAAATATTCGAATGAACCCGACCTAATTTTAAAGAATGGACATAAATTAAAGGTTCAGGAGCTTTTATCCGTAAAGAATTGCCGTTGACATACTGCGTATAAAGACGGGAAGCCGAAAAAGAACTACAACTAAGGTTAGACGCTGGCGAAAAGGACCTGAAAATTGTAAATTTTCGGGTTGTAAGGTTCCAACAGAGAATGATACCGAAGATACTCTGGGTGAAGCACGAAGCCACTTAAATGGGCTTCGGATCTGCTTCAATAATGCCCGAAGCTTACTCAATAAGCGGTCGGAACTAGGTGTACAGACTGACTCTACAAAGCCAGACATAATGTCAGTCACAGAAACCTGGCTGACACAGTCTATAGATAGTATGGAACTTGATTTCGAGGGTTTTACGTTAGGGCCGACAGAATACAAAAGCGTAAAGGAGGAGTGGCTCTATTCATTAGGAATGCTACCCCATTTGCCATTATCGACAGTGTATCCCATGAGAGTGGAACGTGTGAATTAGTTAGTTGCCGCTTGAAATGCAAGGGACAAGAGCTGCTGATTGGCTTGGTCTATCGCAGTCCAAGCTGTGAGGTAAATGAAGTCCTGCTAAGCAGTCTCAATACTTGGTTACATAGTAGTCGATGTCTAGTTCTAGGGGACTTTAATGCACCTATGGTAGACTGTGAAAATCTGCTAACTCAATCGTCAGAAAATTCCTTCGAGCAGGAACTAGTTGATGCGGTTATCACGGGAACGCGTTAACTCAATCCAGACCTAACGTCTGGAAAGCAAACATACCAGATATCATGCACTCAGCATCGTTAGTAGATTGGACGATAGACCCAGAGTCATCAATTGAAACGGCTTGGGGCGCATTTCAAAATTTATAATTAAAAGTTACCGCACCCCACATCCCTCGGACTACTCCAAAGGGGCCGAGAAACTCTCCACAATGGTTCAGTAGGGAAATCCGCATCCTTCTGCGCTAGAGAAGAAAAATCTGAGATAGATTTAGGTTGCTGGGGACTGACGAGACAAAATCTCAGTATCGAAAAACTCGGGATACCTGTGCCTTGACCCTACGTTGTACGAAGAGAAAATTGTTAAGGAATCCATAGAATGTCCCAAACGCTTGTATTCTTAAGTAAACCAAGGGACAAAAAGAAGAGGAAACATTCCTGCACTATGGGTAGACAGTACTGCCGCATCATTAGTGGAGGACGACTTTGGTGAGGCTCAAGTGTTCTCGAACTACTTTAGCAATGTATATACCACAGAAGCACTCTTCCCGTCAGCGTATACGGATCCCCCATACATACACTGGATAGCGTGACCATTAAAGAACTCGATATCTTTGGTCTACTAAATAAGCTTGACATAGGTAAATCCACGGGGCCCAATGAATTACATCCTAGGCTACTGAAGGAATTATCTAACTTCGTTGCGAACCCTTTAAGTATATGTTTCAACCTATCCGTTACGCAGGGTCGTTTACCAAAAGACTGAAAAAACGCCATAGTAAGTCCGATCTTCAAAATAGGTACGAAACATAAGCCTGATAATTACCGCCCCGTTAGCCTAACTAGTGTGGTTGCGAAAATCTTAGAAAAAATTATTTGGAAGGAGCTGTTTAGTTAGCTCGATGAAAACCGGATCCTTTCGGAGAAGCAGCACGGTTTCAGAATAGGTTATTCTTGTCTCACTAACTTATTAGTCGCTCGTGATGGCTGGTGCGCTATTAAGGACCAAAAGTTACCTGCAGACGTAGCCTACATTGATTTCGGATAAGCTTTTGACAAAGTTCTGCACAACCGGCTGTTATATAAGCTAAGAAATGTCGGAATTGGAGGCAATCTATTGATGTGGATAAAAGACTTTCTA